TGTGTGTGTGTGTGTGTGTGTGTTGTATGAACTTATGACGTCGTTGGGGGTGAAGCCACTGTTTCTAACTATGCTATGCATGCTCTTTGGTAACCTCTGTCAGCCTGTCCTGTAAATCTTTCCCTTTTCTTTGCCAGACTCCAGCTACAACAAGGACTGCTTCATTCTCCGAGCCCAAGTCGCCCACTGATACCTGCCCGGCCAAGAAGTGTAAAGCAGGGCTTCCAACAGGTAACGAACACAGTCATTCATGCTGAACTGCTTCCTATCAGCAAGATCCCATATTTACTCATGCACCTCTTTTTTTTTTTTTTTTTTTTTTTTTTTTTCCCCCCCTCTCATCCTGGCTTCTCCTTTCCTGCTGAAATACCACCACCAATATTCTGCAATTTATCTTCCTTCTCTTTTCCTCCTTTTCTTATTTCACACCAACTTACATCCACCCTTTTCATGCTTGTTTCTCTAAGACTCGCTCCATTCTATACTGTGGCCTCTGAAGAATGTGGTCACAGGCGATTGGAAAGGTAAGTGATAGGTGTGCCATGGCCTCACTGCTCTGGGCTTCCTACACATTCATCACTGGTTTGAACTTTTCCCCCTTGTTTGCTGCTCACCTTTCTAGTCTTGGTGTATATGAAGGACGTATGTTCACATCACATCAGGGCATCATATTCTTATGAATGCTGCATACTTTTTTAATATGCTTTTTTTTTTTTTAACTTTTTATAATGAATAAGTATGGTTTGTAATAAAAACTAGAAATTAAGTTTAAGCATAGTTTTTTTTTTTGTTTGTTTTTTTCTAAGGCCTCTTCACACTGGATTTTGTGTTCTTTAGGATTAGTAGTGTTAAAGTCAAAAGCAGCCATGCAAACATGAAGTTTTGATTACTTTACTAAACTGTTCATATTGCCTTTTACAGCAGTACAGTAAAGGCATGCTCCATAGCAGCTGAGCACTGCATGGTCTCTTCCTCTGCTGTGCTTCTAACGCAGTGTTTTCAGTGATGACACATGGTTGCAAAAATGCGGTGAAGTGTGTTGAGTGAATAACTTGCAGCAAAGACTCAATTTTTGTTCTCTTCTTGTGTTTGTGCCTGTTTTTTGTTGTATTTTGTGTTTCCGTCCTGTGGGTGTCACAGAAGCGCAAGCCTCTTCAGGCTGCAGCGGAGGTATGGAAGGGTGTGAAAAACCTGTTTTCCTGCCCTCTCCGTCCTTTGTCCCTCTGCTTTCCCCTCTAACGTTTATCTTCTTTACACTCTTATGGCTTACTTGTTTGACACTGCCTTGTAATCATTATTTTAAAAAACGTATAGCAAAAACCTTGAGCTATAACTGTTAGTAGAAATTCTTCAGTTCAAGACGCAGGCGCAAGAATCAGTTCTGTATTTAAAATATTCTGCACATCTCAGAGATGTAACGACAGAAGGCAGAGAGAAAGAGAGACTTGGAAGGACTGGAATAAGTTTGAGAATGTATTTTTACTAAACAGTAAGAGTTTTAAAGCACATGCACTAACGTGATCTCTGCTTTCAAGAATTTGTTTTTCAAATTTTTCAGATGCTCTGAACCTTTCTTTGTAATGTAATCATTACAAAAAATGTGATCTTTATCGGCAGTCAAGGATCTGTCAGACAGTATTTTATATTTCCATGTGGCAACATACCACAGATAGCACTCTAGTCTTTTGCCGAATACTTCACTTTGAAAATGATGGCCGTATACTGCCAGCAATGGAGGAAGTGAAGTTGCTGGTTTTCTTATCCGGGGTAAAAAATGGCAGCTGCATATGTGGTGTCCATATTCTTTTCATGCAAATGTCCTAGTTTTTAATGATGTTACATTGCAAATTAATGTTTTTAACGCTGTGGCTTGGAGAGAGCGGACAAAATAAATCGTGCAGATCCTGTGTGGGGTGGTATTTTTCTCTTCCTGGTCCATCTGTCCTCAGTGAATCCTGTCTTTATTCTAATTCTTACCATCCCCATTCCTGCTGTTTCCCTGAGCCAGAATTCCCTCTTCATCTGTGAATGGGTTTTAGTTCAGTTTCCACTTCTGACTTGTCTCTGTGTAATTTTTTTTTTCTTCTTTTTTTTTTCTTCCTCTCAGCTAAAGCAACCACTCTCTTCAGAAAAAACACCAAGACCATTGTTTGGGGCATGCAGACACGCGCCGTGCAAGGCATGCTGGACTTTGACTACGTATGCTCCCGGGAAGAACCCTCTGTGGCAGCCATGGTCTACCCCTTCACGTAGGTTGCGCTATTTCCCTCTGAATTAAATTAGAAGAGTGTGACTGTAGAATACTAAATAGTTAACTGCACAAATCAAATGATTTTTTTTTTCTCTCTCTGCTCGAAATCTCTAAATCTACTCTTGCTGGTGTTTAGTTGTTTCTGTTTTTATCTTTGTCATATTTGTAAAATACTGAGCCTTTTTCTAAAAGCGTATTATCAGTTTAGGCAGATTGTAAGTCGTGTACACATACAATAAAGGCTTATAACCTTCCATGTTTCCAAGTGGCAAATTCTTGTAGAACATCTTAAGCTGCTTAAGTCTTCCCAATGTTCCTCTGTATCTGTAAGCCACTTTGCAACCCACTTTAAGCCCAGCTCTTCCTTCTGATCTGTCAGTTTGTCAGTGTTGTCCGTTGCCATTGTCTGATCTGTGCTGCATGGGCATCGCCTTCCCTCACCTATAGAGGTGTCCATATAGTAAGTGATTCACAGTGATGCAGCAACCAAAAACCAGACTTATCAATTGAGCTGAATTTGAGTTAAACTTCTGTTTTCAATAGGAAGCCCCAAACACAAATGATAAACCTCTAATTGACAGGGTTTAAGGAACTGACAAGAATTCATTTTGCAGTTGCAAAGTATCCATTAGTTGTACTGAATGGAGTTGGGGAGTGTTATTGAATTTTATTGTTTTATTTATATTTTGATATTGCTAGGGATGATGCAATGATCGGGGACCATTCTTAATTTTGTTGTTCCTGTGACAATGACAATAAAGTTTCTGATTTTACTGCTGTGTTTCGAAAAAGTTCTTCATATTTTGCTGATATGTTTCTGTTTGTTGCTCAGTGGAGATCACAAGCAGAAGTTTTACTGGGGCCACAAAGAGATCCTGCTGCCGGTCTATAAGAACATGGCCGATGCCATGAAGAAGCACCCCGAGGTAGACGTCCTAATCAGCTTTGCTTCGCTGCGCTCTGCCTTTGACAGCACAGTGGAAGCCATGCAGTACCCACAGGTATGAAGAGCGACTGTACAGTGTGTTGAGCTTCCACTAAAATTTTTCAGAGTGGACCCAGTTTATTTAATTGTGTTTTCAGATTCACACCATCGCCATCATAGCCGAGGGCATCCCCGAAGCTCTGACTAGGAAGGTGATAAAGATGGCCGACGAGAAAGGAGTCACCATCATTGGCCCTGCCACGGTACAGAGCTTCATCCCCCTGAACATCTTTGTTAAAAACATTTACACTCATCATTAACACGGCTATAAGTTTATAGACTGTAGTGTGGTATTTAATAGCCCAGCTAAAAGGGCTATTAAATCTTTCTGGTAAACATGGTGGATTAAATGCAGATTATTCTTGTTAAATAGGTTGGTGGCATCAAGCCAGGTTGTTTTAAGATTGGCAACACAGGCGGTATGCTGGACAACATCCTGGCTTCTAAACTTTACCGTCCCGGAAGTGTGGCGTATGTGTCGCGCTCTGGGGGCATGTCCAACGAGCTGAACAACATCATCTCACGCACTACAGATGGCGTCTATGAAGGGGTGGCCATCGGAGGAGACAGGTACAAAAACTTAATTGCAGATCATTTACTTGAGAGAATTTTTTCATTTAAAAAAAAAAATGCATAAATCAATTCTTGACCAAAAAAAGATTCTAGTTCCAGAAATGAGTGCTTACGTTTCTCTCTGTCCAGATATCCAGGCTCGACCTTCATGGACCACGTCCTACGTTATCAGGACACTCCAGGAATTAAGATGATTGTTGTATTGGGAGAGGTGGGAAGCATTTAATATCTAAATTATTTGGTGTGTGCTACTTGTACCAAATAGAATCCTGTTTTTAATATGTCCTTTACTTTGACACAGATTGGTGGAACAGAGGAGTACAAGATCTGCCAGGGCATCAAGGAAGGCAGGATAACAAAACCTGTGGTCTGCTGGTGCATTGGAACCTGCGCCACCATGTTTGCCTCAGAGGTCAGTTAGCTCTGTGGAAATCCTGGCTTTGGATTTTATTGCTGCTCTTACCTGGAAGTTCCATTTTTCCAGTAATATATTTTACTGCCATCTTCAGGTTCAGTTTGGCCATGCAGGAGCTTGTGCCAACCAGGCTTCAGAAACAGCGGTGGCCAAGAACCAGGCTCTGAGGGATGCTGGAGCTTATGTACCAAAGAGCTTTGATGAGCTGGGTGACGTCATCAAGTGAGAAATACTTTTCATGCTAATTTCCTAAAGTTTGGAACTGACAGGTTTCCGGGTTCCTCACTGTTATTGTGTTTGTGGTGAAACAGGACTGTGTATGATGAATTAGTGGCCAATGGTACCATCGTTCCTGCCCAGGAGGTTCCTCCCCCAACAGTACCTATGGATTATTCCTGGGCCCGGGTAAGAACTTTATAATAGTCCTTTGTAAACTTAGAAGCCAAGAAATACTGGATATAATGGTTATTTGTGGAATTTGTTGGGGTTTTTTTCCAGGAGTTGGGCCTGATTCGTAAGCCAGCCTCATTCATGACAAGCATCTGTGATGAGCGAGGCCAGGAGCTCATCTATGCTGGCATGTCCATCACTGAGGTCTTCAGAGAAGAGATTGGTATAGGAGGAGTGCTAGGATTGCTCTGGTTCCAGCGCAGGTCAGTATGATGTCAAGAACACTGTTAGTTGTTAAGAATGTAGGATCAATTTCACACTTTTTTCTTTTTTTTTTTTTCTCTGTTTAGGTTACCACGCTACGCCTGCCAGTTCATTGAAATGTGCCTGATGGTGACTGCTGATCATGGGCCTGCAGTCTCCGGCGCTCACAACACGATTGTCTGTGCTCGTGCGGGCAAAGACCTTATCTCAAGCCTCACATCCGGCCTGCTCACCATCGTCAGTACTGCTCACATATTGATCAGTCATTGATCATGTCATCTTTTGTTGTTGTAGTTTTTTTTTTTTTTTTTTTTTTTTTTTTTTTTCCCCCCCAAATCTATCTTGTATTTTATGAGCTGCTCAGCTGACAGCATGATTTCTGACAAACTGGCCATAATGTTACGGAATTGAAACGCAATTTATTCCTAAAAATCAGGGGGACCGTTTCGGAGGTGCTCTGGATGCGGCTGCAAAGCAGTTCAGCAAGGCATTTGACAGCGGCATGATCCCCATGGAGTTTGTCAACAAGATGAAGAAGGATGGCAAGCTGATTATGGGTATCGGCCACAGGGTCAAATCAGTAAGCAACACTCGACTTTATACAATAAACAGTGCTCTAATCTGTAAATGAGCCTCTTATTTATCAGTGTTTTGACTCGTATTTGTTAACTGCTTCTTCTGAGTTTGATTAAGATGGACACGCAGCCATTGTTTTAAATGGAGTTTGATTCGGTTTCAGATCAACAACCCAGACATGCGAGTGCAGATTCTGAAGGACTTTGTGAAGCAGAATTTCCCTTCCACCCAGCTGCTTGACTACGCCCTCGATGTAGAAAAGATCACCACCTCTAAGGTATTTTACACAGAGTGAAGTAGACGATGGAAACTTGTGTGTACAAGCAAAACCGTGAAATGATGAAATGAAATGGCAACAGAAAGCTGCTACATCTAAAGAACCTGATGACTGCATTGACATTCAGGATTCAGAGATTGGGCTTTGCTGTCAAATAATTTGGTTAAACACTTTGAGCAGAAGATTTTTCATTTATTTTTACAGCAGGCAAGCAATTATTCTCAGTTTTCTGCACAGGTGACCACATCTGCAGATTCCATGATTGACAGTGGAATGTAACCAGAACGAAGACCTGGATTTTATAGTTCTATAAATAATATTAAACATTAATCAGGCTTTTTAATCTCATTTAACACTTTTTGTTCTAATTTGTGCTGTTATTCAGGGACGTGTGTCAGAACCCACACCCAATGAAAACTTGTTATATATTTTTTTTTAATTCAATTTAACCAGGAAATTCAACTGTTGAGCTTTTAGACTCTGCCAAGATGGAGAGAAATAACATTTTTTTTTTTTTGATAGTGGGTGAAGCTGCAGCTACCAGAGAAAACCTGTGACATACAAACACCATAGCAGAAAGTCCTGAACATTCTTTGTGAGGCAACAGCGATAACCTCTGAGCCACTATTAGATCCAATAAAAAGATTGATAAGATCTAGAAGAGGCTGTGCTCTCTGCAGCTTTGGACTGCAAGTCCTTTCCTCAATTTCATGTTAAAATAACATTCAAGCATTTTGATTTTGATTTATTTATTTATCCCAGAAACCCAACCTGATCCTAAATGTAGATGGCTTTATTGGTGTTGCCTTCGTGGACATGCTTAGAACTTGTGGAGGCTTCACACGGTAAGAATACGAGACGGCATCGTGAGGTGTTACTTCTGTAAGCTTTGGTGCGTGTGCTTTGATTGGATGGATCTTATCACCAATATCTCTTAAATATAAATAAATATTTCCCATTGCTGTTTTTTGTTTGTTTTTTTTGTTTTAATTACAGCATTACAAAAAAGAGAAATACTGTATAAAGAAATGGAAGCCAATAATAAAAGGGGCAGACAAAATGTGCATGGATTTGCACTTTTAATATCCCTTCATTTCCCTTCCCCCCCCCCCCTCCCTTTTCTTATCTCCCTCTCCTCCTCCTTTCCTTCCCTCCCTCCGGCCATCTTTCCCTTCCTTAGATGGAATTACACAAAAGTGTTATATGAGCATGTAAACACATGGCCAGGGATGATTCAAGTATTACACTTATTAAATTTGTCAAAATGAATATGCAGTGGGGAGAAATAGAACAGTAAGAAAATCAGATAAATGGATGAATAAATAGAGACACCACTACAGGGGCCACGTGTTATTAGTATTCCTGCTCTTTTAGATTGGCACTCTAAGGTAGTGTAAACGAAATGTAATGAGTAAAAAGAGAAGAATACTACGAAATATTATCTGTGTCAATATTATCACTGGGTGTTACAGGAAGCCTGTAGTTGTTAACAGAAACCATAATAAACACTCTGATATGCTTACAGCTACATTATTTAGATTTAACCAAAAGTGCATGTTATTCGATGGCTTGTGGAGAATTCAGATGGCTGAGATGCAATGTCTGCACTGTTGCTGTGTGTCGAGGGGACACTGTCCAGTATTGTTTCTCACATGAATGTTGAACTGTCTCCAGAGACGAGGCTGACGAGTTTGTGGAGATCGGTGCACTAAATGGGATCTTTGTCCTCGGCCGTAGCATGGGCTTCATTGGTGAGTTCCCTTTAAAATGGAGCCATGATATTCTCTGTGACAACCTTTAAAACAGAGTCTCTAACCTGAGTTTGTTTTGTTAGGCCATTACCTGGATCAGAAGAGGCTGAAACAGGGTCTGTACCGCCACCCATGGGATGACATCTCCTACGTGCTCCCTGAACACATGTCCATGTAATTCCCTTGTCACAGAATGGAAATCACTTCCAGACGATGATGTCAGGCGGTATTACACATCTCATGTAACTTGTATCTCCTCTCTAGTTATGATAGCAGCTGCCAAGGGGGGTGGAACTGGGCAGGGTTACTTTGGAAAGTGGGAAGTACTGTTTATCTGAGGAACCTGGGTAGAAGTTTTCAATCTAGTTTTTATGGAGGAAAAAGGGGAAGTATATTTCTAGGCTCAGTTTTTGAGAACTAATTTAAAAGGTCTGAGATGTAACTTGTTTAGTTTTTAACAAACAGCCACACCAATGCAAATCTTAGCTGCAGGAGCACAAAATCACTTGGTACACAGAGTCAAAATTGAGAGATGGTTATGCTTAGTTGGGTATAGGAGCAAGATCCAAGCAAAATTTCAGTCCTTAATCCTGCAATGCATAGTCTGCATAGTAACCTCTGTTAATGGCTGCAAAGCATTTTTTAAAATACTTAATCTGCCTGGTTTAGACCACAAGAAAAGGTGCTTAAATGTGCTTTCTGGCTTTCCGAGTGCTGCAAATTAGTTTAAACACTAGATCCCTTTTTAAACTCCTTCACCATGATTCACTCCTAACAAAAAATAGTCAATCTCATCCCAAATTAAACCAAAGTTATTTTAGGGTGTTTTGTTTATTTAATTAAAAAAAAGAAGAGGAAAAAAAAAAGCAAGATGCAGTGGTAGATGGTACAAATGTCATGAAAAGGATACATCATTATGGAAATGAGAGGAATTAGACACAAGTCAGGAGTCTCTCCACCATTTGCCTTTCATGAAACCAGCCTGGGTTATAGTTAAGTTAATCAGTTTGTTAGTATTCTAATAACTGTAGAAAAAAGGAAGCTGTAGACGCATCAAGAAGAGGCGAACAAATGCTTCATGAATGAGCCCTGTGAGTCTGGAAAGCCTCTTTTGGTGAGGGACCATGAAAGCAGTTTGCTGTACTTTGGAAACTTGCAGCACATAATCCGGATGTTCTCCAACTTCCAGTAAAAACTCACAACACTCTGTAACAGCCCACTGTAATGTCTGCTGTGCTTAATCTGTTTTTATTTAAATGTGAAAAAAGCTTTTTTTGTTTTGTAATATGCTGTCATAAAGTAGTAAAATAAAGAACTTATTGTTTTTCTTTTATTTTGTCGTCTCTGATGTTATGTTTTGTTTTGTTTTTTTGTTTGTTTTTTTAACTGTATCGTGAGTCTATAAGTTTACTTTCCTCTTGAATGGAAAATCCTTAAACTTAATTCTGAACATTTATCTCTAACATGGACAGTAATTACATTTAAATACAAAGCAAAAAACTAAACACCCGCCTTTACCAGCATCACTGTCCATCGGCTGTATCCTGAGCTGCTGATGAGGAATTGTTTGCTCTTCTGGACTTTAGAACTTCATTCTTCAGGTCATACCACAGTATATCAATAAAAAGGTAAATTGGATGTAAATGTGTATTCACATATAGATATATAGAGAAAGATGGATATATTGGGATGTCATTCAGACTGCAGAAGTGTAGTCGAATGGTAACGAGAGAGCAGCATTACAGACATTGAGGATGGCTACAAGTACCTGGGAATCCCACAGGCAACTGGAAATCATGAATCTCCAAATACCTGTAAAGAGGAGGAGTCAGCTCCTTTGGCCAGCTTATCTGGTGATTGGATAAGCTGGCCAAAGGAGGAAATGGAAGGCACAGACATCAAGACAGGAAGTGTACTGACCATGCATGGAGGGTTTCACCCCAAATCCAGCACCCTGTGACTGTACAGTAAGCGGAAAGAAGGAAGCCAGGGACTACTGAGTGTCAGAACCACTGTCCAGGATGAGACAACGAACATCCATGAATACATCAAGAAGATGGCCACAAGCAACCGTGTGCTTAGTGAATATCTCAGGCGACAGAAACCCAAGAAAGAAAAGGTCCAGGAAGAGAAACCATCATGGAAGGACAGGCCCCTGCACCTTATGTACCACTTGCAGATAGTGGAAGTGGCTGACATCACGAAATCCTACCAGTGGCTGGACTGAAAGACAGCACAGAGGTACTAATCATGGCAGTGCATGAACAAGCTCTGAGCATAAGATCCATAGAAGCTGGGGTCTATCACACGAGATGAGACCCCAGGTGCAGAGATTCCTCTCAAACAATCCACCCACCAGGATAAAGACCTTTCGCAAGGCAAGAGGGGAAAATATATATAAATATATATATAAATTCACAGTTGATTAATGATTTGTGTTCCTCTCATTTTCGTCATGGTCAATGCAAAGGTGTGTTTTTGCTGTTACCCTTGGATTCTTTTTCACTTCTGTCACTGCTGCATGTTATGATCTCTCCGAGGAAAAGTGATGGAAATAATCCTGAATTTCCATCCTTTTTTAAATAATTTGTTTCTAAGACCCAGGAATAATTTGCACCAGTTAGTTTTTCCTTGGGGCGATAACACTTTCTCAGTAAGCAGACTGTGTGGGCTTTTATTTTTAAGGGAGGGGCACATACAGAATTCACTCTGTTTAATTAGATATGTTTGTCTGACTTGGGTCAACTAAATGAAAAAAAGACAATTTTACTTTTGTGTGCACAGACACTTGTTTTTTCTGCAGTGACTGTAGGTTTGTTTGTTTTTTTTTCATTTGGACTCTTTAGATTTAATTTCAGTTTAGCGCCAGTTAGTTTCCAGAGTGTATTTTCGTATTTTAGATTAGTTTTCGTTGTTTGAAAATGTTTAGTTTTTTATTTGTTTCAGTGTTAGTTTTAGACCTTTTAATTATTAGTGTATGGAGAGCATATGTCAGAGGCAAGATTTTGCAAAATCTCAAACACTTCCATCAGGCAGGTTGTGCTACAATTTAGAAACAGATACTTAAACTGCGGAAATTTCCTCTGTATTTTTATTTGACTTTATTTATTCCAGGTTCGCTGAAACGATTCAGTTATCCCCAACCCCAAAGACTAGTTTTACTTAACCAAAATGTTTTTTCCACCATCTCGTTAACTATAAAAACCTGGTTTTGTTGTTACTCAAGCTGAAACACAGTTTTATTATTTTATCATCCATGTATAGCCTAACTCAGGCATGAATTCTTATTACCAGTTTAAAGCGTTATACAGTTATGACCCTGATGTTACCTCATCACAAGATGCCAAAGTGCACATCACCGGCAGACGGATAACGGGCAACACGCATGCGCGCAACAGCCTTAAACAAAGGTAAAGTTCTCTTGCAAAAATAAAAATAAATAAAGACCCTTCAATACGTTATAACGCCACATCAATTAAATACGTCACACATTGCACTGTTTGCGTCAGAGATGTGGATGTGTTAGCTTGAATCTGAGGACCTCTCCCTGACAGCCAGCTAAAAATCACCGCACCTTTGGAATATTCCTGAAGACGGAAGTGAGCGCTCCTGTTTTCTCACCAAGCCTCTGAACGCAGCGCATGCATGTCAGTCTCCGAATGCTTGTTTACATGTGTTGGGTACACCTGTGAGTTATTCCCGAAGATAGTTCGGAGCTGTCATTTGCCTCTGAGCATCACCCCGTGCGGTATGGCAACAGCAGCGGAGGATACGGAGGAGCGTGGCCGCAGCAACAGCACCAGCGGCGGGGCGGTGCAGGGAGCGCTAACAGGTGACGGCGAACCTGAGGAGGCCGAGGAGTTCACCTGTTCGGCCTACTGCTCGGAGCTCTCCCGGCGGCAGAACGAGCAGAGGAAAGCCGGGCTGTTCTGCGACGTGACTCTGGTGTTCAGCTCGGGAGCCGTGCCCGGGGTCCAGACGGTATCCGCGCACCGCTCGGTTTTATCCGCGGCGTCGCAGTACTTCATGCTGCTGCTGTCGGGACAGTTTTCAGAGTCCCGATCCGGGCGAGTGGAGCTAAAGGACTGGAGCTCGGGCACGAGACCCGACACAGACACTGTGGAAAGTGTCGTACAGTTCATGTACACGGGAGAAGTCAGGGTGACCACTGCCAATGTGCATGAAGTGTTGGAACTTGCAGACAGGTGATTTATTCATTTATTTTTAATTTATTCCGCAGGTGAATCAGATTGTGGATTTCACTTTGCTTATATGCGGAAGTATGTAAGTCACACCAGGTGGCGTGACTTTGTATGCTGTCATTACAAGAATTAGTTAGCAGGGTCATATTAAAAACTGACGTCCAGTGAGGGGGCAAACAACGACCCAGTTCTCATCAACGGAGGAGTATCTAATAGGCTCCACAAACTGCGACCCTGAATTAGAAAAGCGGAAGAAAATAGATTAATGGATGGATGGATTGATTTGAAATTTTCCCTAAAAAATAAAACAAAAAACAAAACAAGGATCAAACTGATATATTTAAATTTGTTTTGTACAACCAATAAGCGGATATATATAGCAGTTTGTTATAATAGAGGGTCAAGCAAATTAGTAACAATTATTCTCGTGAAGCTGGATGTGAGTTTTGGCATTTTGCTCAGTAATAGATGCCAAATTAAATTCTGTTTCATTAAGAGGAAAAGCAAGAAACCAGCTTATCTCTTTATAGTAGATGTGGTCCACACAAGCATCTCTTGCACTGATTTTTGGCCTTCGGGTGTGGTGGACATATTATTACTGTTATTATCAGGCTTAAGTGTTTAGAAGTTGCATGGTTGACAACTCCTATGTCGATGGACCTGTAAGGGTGTGGCAGCTTGCGTGGTTACATCTTTGCTATTATTATTTACTCTTCATTAGAGCTATTATATCCACGAAAAAATGTAAAAAAAATAACAATTTTTAACCTTCAGGTTACAAAAATCATCATTGTAAAAGAACTATTGGCTTAATTTTGTTATCTGCTTCAGTTTCAAGGTCCTGATGTGGTTTATGGTGGCTCCTTGGCACTGTGTTATAGCTTACTGGACAGCTGAATAGAACATTGTATCGTGGTATTGATTTTATCCTGGGAGTCTGTCTCAGCGAGGCTGTTTGAGCAGGTTGTCATATTGCTGTCTAACAAAAAATAATTGAAGATACATTCACAGAACTCCACAGGCATGAAGCTTGAGTTTAAAGTTGCAGGTGTGGTTTGAACCAGTAGTGCTGAGTAATTAGACCACACCTTTCTACTCAAAGTGCTTCCATCACAAGTCAGGACTTAAACTACTATCTTTGATTGTTACACTTGCTTGTTAGGAGTGGGATTTGAACCCACGCCTCCAGAGGAGAGTGCGACCTGAACGCAGCGCCTTAGACCGCTCAGCCATCCTGACACTCAAGAGTTGTTCTCCTTCAACCCGCAGATTTTATTGCCTGTGCAAATTTTTATACCATCATAAAATACTTTACATAGAGAGTCAGTATTTTTTAATTAATTCAATGAAATTCAATTCACTTTTAGTTATATACCAAATCATAACAACAATCGCCTCGAGGCACTTTGTATTGTAAAGTAAAGAGCCTAAAATAATACAGAGAAAACCACAACAATCAAAGGATCCTCTTTAAGTAAGCACTTGGTGACAGTGGGAAAGAAAAATTCCCTTTTATAGCAGGAAGAACGGGAACGGGCAGCTATCTGCCACGACCGGTTGGGAGGTGGTGGGAGGAAGACGGGATAAAAGACACATTGTGGAAGAGAGCCAGAGATTAATAATAAGTTAATGTGGCAAGGAAATATAACATTTTTCGTATGCTGTAACTTTGATATCTCACTCTGTCAGGTTTCTGCTGGGGCAGCTGAAGACCTTCTGCGGAGAGTTCCTGATGAGGAAGTTGAGCATGTCCAACTGCGTAGCCGTGCACAGCCTTGCACACATGTACACGCTGAACCAGCTCGCTCAGAGAGCCGCCGAGACGATCAGGAGAAACTTTCACAAAGTCATTCACAACGAGGAATTCTTCACACTGCCCTTTCACTTGGTGCGAGACTGGCTGTGTGATGCAGAAATCACCGTGGAGTCTGAGCAGGAGTTGTTTGAGGCAATCGTGAAATGGGTCCACCACAACCCAGAGGAGCGAGAGAAGCATTTTGAGGACCTGTTTAAACTTTTAAGGCTGCCACAGATCGCTCCTACTTACCTGACGCGTGTCGTGAGGAAGGAGCCCTTAGTGGCAAACAGCGCGGCTTGTCTGGAGCTGGTGTCCAGTGCGCTCGAGGTCCACGCTGTTCGTTATGAGAGCCCCAAGAAGGCTGATTCAGATCTCGGTGACTCCTACGAGGCGACGATCCAGCCTCGATACGGTCAGAACATGGATGTGATCATGGTAGTGGGTGGTGTTTCGGAAGGAGGAGATTATTTGAGCGAATGTGTGGGCTACTTTGTTGCTGAGGATCGCTGGGTCAGTTTGCCACACATCCACAACCACCTCGATGGACATGCTATTGCTGTCACCGAGAATCACCTTTATGTGGCGGGCTCAATGGAGCCCAGCTTCGCCAAGATGGTGGAGCGCTACAATCCTAACCTTAACTGCTGGGAGTCGGTCAGCAGCCTGACCACACGCAAGCATTCGTTTGGCCTCACGTGCATCAAAGACACACTCTACATCATCGGCGGCCATGGCAACTTCAGTCCAGGTTTCAAGGATGTCTCCATTTATGAACCTGAGCAGGACATGTGGCTCAATCTGGAGCCAGCGCCAAAGATCCTGCGAGATGTAAAAACAGTGAGCGTAGAGGATCGCTATGTGTACATAATGGCCAGGACCCCCGTAGATATAGACAGCGATGATGGGCTGAGCACGGTGACCACCTGCTACGATACAGAAAGCCGCAAGTGGCAGGAAGTGGACTCGTTACCGCTTATTGATACCTATTGTAGTTTTCAAATGGCTGTTGCATCCAGCAACTTCTATCACACAGCTTCCTGTTGCCCCAAGAACTATACGGTAACACATGAGGCCGCCCAGCAGAAAATAAGCAGAAACATCTCAGAGGACATCCTCGACAGCCTCCCGTCAGAGGTCCTCAGCCTGGAGGGCGCAGCCATTTGCTACCTGGGTGAAGACATCTTCATCATCGGCGGGTGGAGGAACAGCAACCACGTAGAAAAGCAGTACCGCAAGGAGGCCTACCGCTACTGCGCCAAGAGGAAGCGCTGGATGCTGCTGCCGCCCTTGCCCCAGCCACGCTGCCGTGCGGCGGCCTGCCACGTTCGCATCCCGTACCAGTACCTCTATGGCTCCCAGCGTTACCCCGTCCCCCACAACCTGGCTCGCCAGCGAGACCGCATGCAACAGATGCAGCAGCTCCATCGGCGCACCCTCAGCCTGCGGAGGCAAATGCAGTCTCAGATTGAATGTTAAGAATCAGATATTCTGCTTTAAGTCATTAGCACTTCATCTGCTGATAAATGCCTTGCTGTCATCTCAAGACTTTGTTTCAGTTATTTTATTTTATTTTACCTTAATTGAGGTGAAATGTTTGCGCCATTTTTTCCTGAAGCGGGTTTGCAGTGAAGGAAGCAATGAGTCTAATCATTTTTGGCCTCATGCCTTACTTTTTATCGTGCCAGCAAATAAGACTGCTGTTGGTTTTGTTTGCGAAACAAATCACAGCTCAGCTTTTTAAACCGCGGCCTTTGTTAGCATCTTAGATAAAGGATGTCAATGTTTCCTGTGTGTGCAAAACAAAAACAACAAAACTGTCATGAGAAAACTTTGTGTCAGGAAGCATACTTGGCAAAGTAAACGATGTCTATTTATTGTGATGTATGTTAGAAGGAAATCATGAATTACAAAAACTAATTCAATAGCTAACTTAGAAAAGAAGTATCAGCTGCTTTAACTGTTTGCTTTCCTTTCCGTTGTTGTCATTGAGGGTTTTTTTTGCACAGTATGCATTGGAATAGTGATGATCGTATACTCTGTGCCTAAACAGACAATCACAATTTCGTAGCAAGGACTGAATGTTGACAAAAAGCACACGCTGTGCGACAGCTTGACTTTGGATGTGTGTGTGTGATTTATTTTAAGCTGGTCAAAAAAACAAAACTCTATTTCATATATACGATTTCTGGAAAGATGGACTAAATACCACAATGATAATCCAAGTATCGGATTTTGTGTTTAAATACGACGCTTTCCCATTTCACATCGCAAGGACAACCGCTAACAGATCCAGCCACTGACAGCAGTAACTTTGTGTAAATGTTTGGTTTGTGGGTTTTAATGGACTTGTTTGGTGTTTGCTCTGCATTTACGCTTCTGGCAGAATCTGTTTAGTGTTTTTGTCTCGGTGAATGAAAGCACATATGAACATTGCACTGTGGAAAGATTTTTAAATGTGCTTAATACACTAAACCAGCAAGACGATGTGTTATTTTTGTGAATGGTTATCATTTCCCCACTGTGCCAATAAAAATAAGACCTGTTCCTTAGTGACACCATTGATTTATTGTTCTTACTGCATTAAAGGACCTTGAATGTTAGCTTTACTTCTGAAGAGCGTTCCTTTGAGTTTAGTGACCCCCTCAAACATACCATGCTGGGTGTAGTGAATAAAGAGAAACTCATTCAGTATTTTTGAAGCTGTGTTTAGATTTTTGTACCAGTTTGGTCAATTTTAGATCAAATGTAATAATAATGGATTGCATTTATATAGCGCTTTTTGAGAACCTCAAAGCGCTGCATAATTCCATTATTCATTCACTCTCATACACTGGTGGAGGCAAGCTACAGTTGTAGCCACAGCTGCACTGGGGCAGACTGACAGAAGCGAGGCTGCTATATCGCACCACCGGCCCCTCTGGCCATCACCAGTAGGCGGTGGGTGAAGTGTCTTGCCCAATGACACAACAACCGAGACTGTCCAAGCTGGGGCTCAAACCAGCAACCTTCCGATTACAAGACAAACTGCCAACTCTTGAGCCACGATCGCCCTGTGTGACATGTGACACATTTAGCTGTCGTGTACTCTTGTGTAAAATGTCTAAAAACAGCACACTTTTATTCTGAAGAACTCCAAATGTTCTAAATATGGAAGAGTGCTCAAATACTTGTCATGTACTTTCAAGTCTTTTTTTCTTATAAGTGAACTATATTTACACTTCAGGAACTCTTAATATCCAGTCCCTGCGATCAAAGTACTTTGATTGTAGAATTTTGCACCTTTTTAAAATGTAAAGCAAAAGTCTTGAGGCACCCCTCATTTCTTTATATTTTGCTTCTCAGGTCCTTCAGAAGAAATTTTCTCTGGTCGCTGGCTGATTTTTTATTTTTTATTTTATTTTTTACTCTTTTTCCGTTCAGCTCTCGAACCTGACCATTTTCAGAGGAATGGTATTTATGATCTATGAATCTGTGATCTATGAAAAACGTTCCTAAGTCAGATGATGAAAAATTATGTGTCTGCACATAGCAGATAACTTGGCAAACAACAGATGTCTGCTTAAAGAAATTACAGAAAAGCTTGACTAAGACAGCAGATGGTTCAATAAATAAATCGCTAATATGTTTCCCATTTTCCTAGCAAAATATAAAGATTTTTTCTTCTATCGTCACAGTATCTCTACCATTAATAACTTGGCCTCGATATTCGTCTAGTGAAATTCTAGTACTGTGACAGCTCCCTCAGTATATCCTCACCATCAAGTAGGAACAAATGCATGTCGGAACCATGGATAGTGTGGCGTAGACGCGGGGGAGCTCTATGTCTGTGACAAGCAGAAATGTAAACAATTGAAAGCAGCAGCGGAGTGTAAACTGCATATAATTTGATTTTGAAATATTTTCACATAGATATTCAGACGTTTTTAACACAATGTGCTCTTAACGGTCCCTCTGAATAGTCGATAAAACGTCGCTGACGCCTGAGCTCTCCGTGAGAAGATGGTAAGTTGTAACTGTCAGCGGTTACGTAATCGCGTCGATAGTCGCTGAATCGGCTGTTAAAGTTTAACCGGTTGTGTTATGATAACATGTTTTTGCTGGCAGCATAAAACAAGTCTATTCATTCAGATGCAGCTCATATTTGTACGGCATTGTCAGCAGGCTGGTTATGAGCTGTAACCACAGACTGAAGTGCAGTTTGGAAACCAATATTTAGGCCCAATTTATGCTTTTATTTTGAAAGAAAATAGGTACATAAGGTGTATGAGCTGCTTGAAAGGAAAACAGGAGTTTTATCGACTACTAAAACTGAGGGCTGCTCGGTTAAATCAGCTTGCAGCCACTGTTCGCTTGTTATGGATAAGCCCGAATGACAACTTTCCAATACAATGTTTAGTAAATAGCGCTATGATGGTGGGAAGCATGACTAAGAACAAAGGGTGTTTCCACCTCACATTTCCTCCTCCATCATCTCGGTTTTGTCTAAAGGTAGTATGGTCCAAAGTTTAAACTGCTGTGAAATTTTCGCCTCACATATCAAACACTTTGCCTTGGACTGACTTTCAGCATGTTTGTTTGTTTGTTTAAATCTGAGGGCATGCTTAATTCACATCAAGTATAAAATATCGAAAGGGGTACCATGTGGTCAAAACAACTTAACCTTGCAAGGCTACTCCCATGGAACAAATGACCTGTTTCATTACTCTTACTTGTCTGAGATATATACACCGTCCACTGTGCTCAACTTGGGGTGATACCATGCATGGATGGTCAGGACCTTCTGGGTCATGATTTCACTGGCTTCTACTCTCCTCCTTTGGCCACCTTATTATCCTAGCAGCATACCTGATGGCCCTCTGCAGGTACTTAGTGGTTGCAGCTTTCGTCTGTGGGATCCCCAGATACTTGTAACTCTTCGTTATCACACTACTACACCTCTCCGAACAACACTTCGTATATCCTGGTGGAGTGAAGCGATCCTATTGGCTTGAAGTTGTTGTATCTTATCTATCTATGAAGTTGGGCCTAAAAAAAAACTTTTGAAAATTGTAGTTTTCTCTCATCAGTGGGTGATGATATCTGTCATCCTGGCTCCCCCTTGCCATAGCATGTGTGTTTTACCTCTTCAATATCTTTCATATTTATCTCTCTCACTCATGTCTGTGGTGTCTTACTGGATGCAGACATCCCCAGGCAGGAATCAAACTTGCAACTCCCACTCCAAAGACGTGTAGTCTTACCACTACGCTGGGTACACTATAAACTGATTGACTTCTCCAGAAATTAAACACTGTATCTTATCCAAAACCATAAACAAAGTAACTCACTAGGTGTTTTAGGTAAAAGTAACCTCTTATGGCTCTGCTTGCAGATATATCACGTTCCCTGGATCTATACGCCAGTGCGGACCGTTCTGGCAATTTGGCACCAGCTGACGAAAACTGAGGTGAGGAAGCTCCTCTGAAAATTACCATGTGACGGCTGAAATTATACGGAGCAAAGTAAATAGTTTTCTTTTGTTTGTTTGTTTTTTATCATAAATAACCTCCTGTGTGTGGGTGTTGGCTTTTCACTGAACTAAAGAGTAATGCCTCAGTGTAGAAATGGGTCCGCATTGCAAAATAAAAGAAGCTTAATTTATAGTGAGTGTAAATTGTAAGTCCAGAATCTTTTCTGTTCAGATCCCGGAGCTGGCCAAGTGCTCGGTGCTGATGAGGGAACGCAGCAGAGTGGAGGAAACGATCCACTGCATGCAGCGAGCAGGTGCAGGAAACCTGCAGGTAAGTGCGCTGAGTGCAGGTTATACACACAAACACTACTCTGTAAATGCTCATTTGAAGAGTTTTGATTTCTTATGTGAAGATTGCAAACTCACTACAAGAGTCTTACAGGATCAAAAAGCCTTCACTGCTAAAATCATAGACTTTTGCACTATGCTGTAGGTGTTCTTGACTTAGTGAGATGTTATGAAGTTTTTCTTAAAAAGTGAACGTACCAGATTGTAGACTTCTAACGTTTTTGAGATCCCACTCATAGGTTTATTTTGGTTCAACACTTGGAATCAACTCGAGATCCTTTAATAATGAGGGAACAGGTCTCACCTGACCATGAAGCTGCTTGCCTGCCAATTGTCCAATTACTGAAAATGGGGAATTATGTCTAAGAATGGCTGTAAATCCTAAACACTTAATGTAATACCTAAAAGCTGAAGGTTTGCACTTCAATCACATCTTAATTGTTTGATTTTAAAATCCTGTATGATGGTGTACAGAGGTAGAATTACAGTGATTCCCTAAAAGCACATGGAGCTACTGTAACTGTACATTTATGTGTCTGCTGTTTTCACAGGTAATCTCAGACTTTGACATGACACTGACCAGATTCGCTCACAACAGCAAGAGAGTTCCCACCACTCACAGTGAGCACAAAGACACTGAAAGTGTTCCCATGATGTATTCCAGTATGTATATACAAATTACTGGATGGATAATGCAAGTTTTACCTGTGTGGTTTTTGTTTGTGTCTTCTTTTTAGACATCTTGGATAACAGGCTGCTGATTAATGAAGACTGCACTAAAAAGGTAAGAGCTTTACAAACACATGGGTTAATGTGTTAACTTTAACTAAGTTTGTTGCCATGTGGATTGGATATAATATTAATGAGTGTTCTGTTGTTGTTCTGTGTAGATGCGGGAGCTGTTAAACACTTATTATCCCATAGAGATCGATGCTAGCCGGAGTGCTGAGGAGAAACTTCCTCTCATGGTTGAGTGGTAAGAAATAAATGTGTCAGATATTAACTCATTTGATTCCAGTGCCTCCTCAGAGCATACTGAATAATATACAGTGAATTGTAATTTATATACACACTGATGTATGTTGTTAAATGGTTGATATCTTGTATTTATTCTGCTCTCTAAAGGTGGACAAAAGTCCACGAGCTGCTGATTCAGCAGAAGATCAGAAAAGACATGCTGGCCCGGGCTGTGAAGGAATCCAGCGCCATGCTCAGGTACGCACAGCTCAAATTACACAGAACTGATTTATACAGAGAAGAATGTGTTTACAGTTACAGCTCTGTTTACAGTTATGAAGCTTTTTGTCATTTAAAATATTCTTCGAGGCAGGTGATGTCTATACAAATCAATTTATTACACTGTCACAACAAAGCTAATACATTACAGCTGCTCTGCAATGAAAACATTCATTTAGAGGCGAAAATACTTATTAAAAATGAGGTGGGAACCAGTAACATCAGCTGTGTTTGGGTTTCAGATACTTTCAAAAGCAATGTTTAACACTGTAAAGATTATATGAAACATTTCTATTTAACCTCTGTGGTGTTTCTTCATGTTTCATGGTCTAATTTAGTCATGTTTGGTGTGTTTCTGTCTTAAGGGAAGGGTACAAAGTATTTTTTGACCATCTGGCTGAGCACCAGGTCCCTCTGCTGATCCTCTCCGCCGGGGTCGGTGATGTCTTGGAGGAGGTGATTCGACAGAACCACGTCTTCCATCCAAATGTCCACATCATCTCCAACTACATGGACTTTGACCACACTGTGAGTTTAACCACACTCAGCCTCACACACGTGTCATGTGATGGACATGACTGTATACATTTGTAATTTTACGTCATATAATTACTAATATATTACATACATATTAGTGCACAAGTCCATGTTTTTTTGTTTTGTTTTTAAACACAAAACATGATTCGCGGCTAACTGAGAAGAACAAACTTGTCTTTATATTTAACAAAAGCTTTTCACGCACATTGTTTTCCTTTTAACTTCTCTAATAAACATTAATCATCATGCATTAATAGGCATGCAGGAAATATAAGATTTATTATTAATATTTTCTTAAATCTATGCTCTTATAATTGCTTATTTTTGCACGTTAGCTGACTTCTGTCACATCTTGTAAAGTCTCATCATCAGTTTGTCAGTCGTCTGTGAAACACCTTGAACTGCATGTAGTTTGATTGACTGGTTCAGTACAATGGATGTAAAAGCCTGGATCACAAGCTTAAAAAAAATAATCATTTTGCCAGGTTTAAAAGCTTTAAGCTTCTAGCCAAACCAGTCAGTTTAGACGAACCAGCATCGCACGAGGAATTACTGGCAAGTAAGTTTGCAGTTGGATACGTTTGAGGTGTGTGACAATACACACCTGGTTAGTTGAACCACCTGCCACGTAGTTTTTTGAAAGGAATTTTCAGTTTTTGTTTTGTTTTTTGTACAAATTTTCCTTACAAAGAAAGAAACTGTTACAGCTTTTTAGAAAAGATCCTTTCTACTGTGTTTCTTACTTTTTACTGAAAAACGTGTCATATTTCTCAACTGTTACGTGTAGTCAGTACATTCAGTCCAGAAATGGGGAGTAAATCTATTTATTGTATTGATTTATTATAGTTGACGTGTTCTGTCAGAGTGCTGTTGTTTCATGTTAGCTCATAGGGTGTTTTGAATACGAGGAGGTATGAATATATGAATGGTTATCTGTATGTGTCCAGCATGTTCAAGTTTCGCTCTGCTTTTTGCTAAATGCTTGCTGAAGTTGGATCCAGCCAGTGCTGTGCAATTAAGCAAACTACAGTTGTACAATAATTTACAATAATTATCTTGTTTTGCATTTTTAGCACATTTCATACCTTTATAAAAGTCCAAATTCACACTTGCAAGGTGGTCGTCTATCTGGCTGGTCAAGTTATTCATTTCCCAGCCTTCCTCTGTAACTGTTGTCATGAGCTGTCATGCATCTTTGTTGTATTGGTCTTTTGAATAGATGTGTGATAGCTTACTTACCTTATTGTAACGCAGCATTTCTTGCTATTAAGGGGGTGCTGCAAGCCTTTAAAGGTCAACTCATTCACACCTTTAACAAGCGAGAAGGCGCTCTGTCACATGCAGCCGGCCTCAGAGAGCTGCAGGGTCGACCCAACGTGCTGCTGCTAGGAGACTCACTGGGAGATCTGACCATGGCCGACGGGGTCTCTGAGCCCCAGAACGTCCTCACCGTTGGCTTCCTCAACGACCAGGTCAGACCGGTGTAGTGCTGTCCTGGGATTTGTTACTTCGACACGGATCAGTTTTAAAAGCTCACTTGTCTGTTTGGTGTTTCAGGTGGAGGAGAGGAAGGAGTCTTACATCAACTCTTTCGACATCGTCCTGGTGAAGGACGAGACGATGGACGTTCCAAACGCCATCCTCAGGTACATTACCTCGTCGAGAGACAACAAGTAAGACGCACAAAAGGATCCGGACTTAATGTGAAAAATGCACGGATTACCTCATTTACTGCATTCACCCTGTCGCATGCTGGACAATCTCACAGCCTCACTGACCTCATGACTGAATATTTGAACATCAAATCACTCTCTGGACCCGTGTTCACTGTAACGCGGTGCAGATGTTTAAAAACGTACCGTTCTGGTTTCACAGGCACGGGCTGGGCTCCGATTCAAACTGTTTTCTAGTGTTGCATCTAACTGGCCACGTGTTACCTCAGCTTAACTCACCGAGCTGCCAGAACATTAAAACCACAGACAGGTGAAGTTGATAACACAGGACTCCGCATTCTCAGAGCGGGACTATGCACTCCACTCAAGAACCAAGCCTACAAACACCCAAGATCCCAATCCACTGAGGTGCTAACTCCATAACCCACAGGATCCAAACGATCCGCTTTATCAGCACATCCTGTTTTTATTTGCAGGCTGCCCTGCAGGTAAAAACAACAACAAAAAGAAAAATCAGTCTGAACCATTAGCCTGCCAGCCCATTTTACAAGTGTTCTTTAAATGACTAACTTTGTAACCATTTGTGCTAGAGACAAATTTCAGACTGTGCCAGAAAGACGAGAAGACAGATTTCACTGGGATATTTGGTCTGAACACAGACAGCACTTCACATTACCGCAATTCCTCAGTCATGTTGGGATACAGAAAATTGGGATATAGAAAATTCAAATGATTTCTGAAAGATAAGAATTATTTTTTTTTTAAATTTTACATCTAAAGTTACAAAGTAAGTCCAGGCAGCCTGTTTTTCAATCCTAATAATTATCCTGTGATTTATTTGTTTTTTTAGGAAGAAGCTGTGTTTTATGTGTACTGCGTGTTACCTTTGTGTACGCTGTGAGTACTTGAAGTTCAAGTCTAAACATACTGTGCACATGAGTTTCTTCATAGCATGCCGCTATGACAGTGCAGCGAACAGCCTTTTACCTCTGTGTTTTAAACATTTTGGGTCTGTGATAGTGGACACAGACACATTAATCCTGCTATGCTATGGCAGTACTTCACAGCAGGTTGTTGCTGTATGTTAAATGCAGTAAGCTTGTTGAGCTTTCTCAAACATATCGTGCTCAAAGATAAGAAGATGTACATGGACTAGCAAGCGTTTATATTTAAATGTACTGTATATTCTTTTTCTTAAATCCAAAGACAAAAAGGATTTCCTCTTGATTTTCTATGCTTATTAACTATCATAAAGCAATAATAAGACCCTGTAAGTCTAATAATAACAACAAATGCAGTTTTATGTTGTGAATCAGTCCTGCTGTAGCATTTCTTTCTATTAGGTGTCTAATAACTCCTTTATTAATATATATTTTTAAATTGTTAACAATAGTTTGCAAGAAATTGAAACTAAATCGGTGCATTTTAGTCTTAACACGTATGCTGGTGCTTTTCAAACAACGTTTTTACTGTTTTCTTGTCTGTTTCAAAGATTCCCATTAAGGTTACATCTATTATCTGGTGCAGAAAGCAGAGATGCGAGATCACAGTGAGGAAAGAAACAACAGATTGTAAGAAAAAAGGAAATGGTTTTTCTACAAACATTTTAATGAATGTGGTGTTCAGGGACAAATAAAGGTGCTTGTTTGTTTACAGCAATCAAACAGACATTTGTAACACACACAAAAAATGATAGTGAAAAAGATCTTCTGCGCTTTGTCATTTCAAAACTTGAAACCACTAAACCATGACTCCGTGTGGGGAAAAAAGTCTCTTGTTGCCTGTTTGTTGGTTGTTGCGTTTTGTTTGTACTGTGTTGGAGGTTTATCCCTGAGAGAGAACCAAACACTTTTGTCCTCATCACAACTCCTCGTGCCTTGCCTGTTCCCGCTCTTTGTCCTCATCCACTTTAAGTTTCAGCTCGTTGGCTGTGATCACGCCGTCTTTATTTCGGTCCTGGTTTTGGAACATGTCGGTGACGACGTGCTCCATGGTCAGCCCGGGCTTTATGCGACCTTTGCCCTCTGCCACCTGCAGCTTGATGAACTCCGCAAACTAAAGTTACAGAGATCGAGAACCATCAGTCACAAATTAGTCAGTGATCACCGTTCACTCGCCTGTTCTAACGCCAAAGAAAAACCCTTGTTTCACTATGTGAAAACAATATCGAACATGAATAATTATTTAAAATTACAATTTTAAAAAAAAAATCTGTGTTGTTCTTAGTCTCACCTCCAGATGGCAGTAAAGTAAGTTGGGTACATTTCCGTGAGATATGCTACTTTTTCCTCTTGAATTTTTGTGTGTCGTCGCTTATCGTTAAGAAAAATCACGATTTCACAAGAAAAAAAATAAAATAAATCTTACAAAGTACAAGAATCAGTATTTTGATACATAAAACATTAACAGTAGCTAATTGTATAGTGTGGGAAACAAATGCAGGCTTATACAGCCTAGTAAGTGCAGGCTAAACTGGCTTGCTTGCATCTTGCCATATACAGAGGTGTGCCAGTCCGTGCAGTCGGGGGTGGCAAAACCAGTTATTAGGTTTAGGAAATTGCTTTTTCACTAGGATCAGGTAGATGTGGACATTTTCCCCCTTAATGAATAAGTTCAACTTTTAAAAACGGCATTTTCTATTTACTTGCAGCGTCTTTGTCTAATGCTAAAATTTGTTTGATAGATCTCAAACATGTTAGTGTGAGAACTATGCAAAAGACTAAGAAATCAATAAGAGGGTTGAATACTTTTTCACAACACTGTAGTTTGCGTAAAGAAAATTCAGCAAATACTTCATAAATCATATCGTGTTCAGTGAGCCTGCAGACTAAAAAAACAGAACAGAGTTGACAAGCATGAATTAAACTAATGTTAAATAATAATGTGATTATAAAGGAGGAACTCAGACATGATGTCAATAGACATATTTTAAAAAATCCAACGGTTACTTGGACTACTGATGTTGCTTTTCCTCACTGCCTTTTTTTAAATCCTACTATGTGAAATGACAGTTGTCTACGTACCTCCTCCTGTGGCACCTCTGCATTCTTGTTTATGTCCAAGGCTTCAAACAGGTCTGTAGGAGTGTCCTCCAGCCACACAAACAGGTAACCAGGCGGCACGCCCTTCTCAAAGCTCAGCAGCTCTATGTCAAAGACCAACACGGCGCTACTCGGCACACCAGCAGCTGGCAGAAAGTTAAAAACACAACTGTAAGATGGCAACTTTTACTGGTGCTATGGCCATAAACAAGCATCGGTCATACAGCAGAAATCTCACCTCCCCTTTCCCCATGGCCAAGGTGAGGTGGCACCGTTATCACCCTCCTCTCTCCCACGCACATGCCTTGCAGGCCCTGATCCAGCCCGTCGATCACTTTGTCTGAGCCCAGGACGACGTCCTGAAGGCTGCCATAGTTGTGTCTGAGTACAAGGCCAGTTAGGAGACAAAACAAAAAGATGATGACTTATGCTGATCTAAAATTTGAAAGAGATGAGGATGTGCGTATTTGTGTGACCCACGAGGAAAAGAGCAGCGTCCCGTCCATGAGGGAGCAGTTGTAGTGGTAGCGGACGAGGTCGTTCACTTCTGTGGTCTCGTTACACACTTCGGGTCTGTGGATGACCTGGACAGCCACAGTGTCGTTGGGGTTGTGGAAGTCGATGACGTGGATGTCAAAGACGAGCACAGCAGAAGGAGGGATCACATCACCTGGTGACACCATAGAGAGGTTTTATTTATTTATTTAGTTTCATTTAACGAAAAACGCACATCAACTATGACCGTCCATGAGCCAATGATGTGATTTGTTATTGGTGTCTAGTTTTTGTGTCGTACTATAATCTATATATAAGCCAGGATAGGATTTATTAGGTATTATGTAGTAGCTTAACACTGCCATTTTACATTTTTATTATGCACTGCATTGACACCCTTAAGACATAATAAGATTTCTGTCAGTTTGAGTTGGTTTTATTTTCTGGAGGAGAGAACTTCCCTGACGCTTGGAAACTTTACACTGACTCACCTGCTCCGTTCTCTCCATAAGCCAGATGTGGAGGAATAGTGATCTTCCTCTTCTCCCCAATGCAGAGTCCCAGCAGACCCTGATCCATCCCCATTATTACGTACCCCATCCCAATGTAGGTGTTGTAAGTGCTGTTCCTCTGGTAGCTGGGGACAATAAAAAGGCCAAAAATGCAAGTTTATGTTTAAACCTTAAGCTGTATTGGCAGTGATGCGACAGCAGTATTATTTCACATATAAAATGAAAATTAAGCTGCAGCCAAATCAGCAGAGCATGAGCTGACCTGGTATCAAAGGTGACTCCATTCAGGAAGGTGCCGTTATAGTGGTACCGAATGTAATCTCCGACCACGGACCTGCGAGTGCATGACTCCGGCACCACCTGGTTCTCAACAGTGATGTTATCCTTCGGGTTGTGGATGTCCACCAGCAGGACGTCGAACACCAGAGTCGCCTGAGGGGGAATCTCGTTACCTGGCAGACAGAAAAGTGGAGAATTTTGGATGTCACATCTACTAGTTGCAACATGCAAGTGGTTGGATATAAAGAAGAGTTTCATTTTTATTCATCTTTGATTTATTCAAAACTGCAAAGAAGAAAAAGGTTTGTGATACGCCACAAAAAACGTTTAACTTCTGGTTTCACAGAGTATTTTGCAGCATCCTTAAGCATCAAAATCGCGTTGCCTACCTCGGCTTTAATGTTACCGTCTCAATTATTTGACTTATTCTGTTTGTAAAAATGATTTCCCTTCACAAATACATTGATCAGCCACAATTGGTCCCTTCTTGAATCAACATTTCAATCTCTTTATGAAATTCGGAGTTCCTCACCTGATCCCTTTTCTCCGTAGGCTTTGAACGGCGGGATGACGATTTTTCTGATCTCTCCCACACACATGCCCAGCAGGCCCTCATCCATGCCCTTGATCATCCAACCCTCACCTACTAGGGAGTTGTGTGTCTGTTTCCTGGTGTAGCTGCGTGGGGCTCATACAAGCGCAAAGTCAAACACACAACTTCACACAGACAACATACCTGGATGACACAGCACAGACAAATTAGAGCTGTGATTTGGATTAAAGATTTGATGACTTAGACTTAGGGATAAAATTGCCTAAAAATATTGGTCCCATTCAACTCATGCTGGTTTGAAGAAAGAGTCAATAAACATCTTATCTTCTTCAGAAAATAGTCACCAAAGTCAGAATTCACCTCGAGTCAAAGACTGTGCCGATGAGCAGAGTGCCGTTGAAATGGTAACGCACAAAGTCAGTACGAATCACGGAGCGCTTGCAGTCTTTCGGAGTGGTGATGGTTGTGGTTACAACCAGGTCGGCCGTGTTCCACAGATCCAGCAGGTGGATGTCAAACACGAGGGTGGCGTCTGGAGGAACGACGTCACCTGAAAATAAGGTTGGATGACAGTTAGGTGGAAGCTGCCGACAGATATGGGTGGAAGCAAAACAAACAAATAACTTATGGTCACTAAGGCTTTCACACTGTGCTCCAAAATCCACACAAGCATTGATTTTACATGCATTTCCGTAAGTGATACATTACAGTTGAAATGGGATGTTGGTAATTTAGTTTCCGGCACGTTAACGACTACAAATACAGAAGAATAACTCTTGTTTAGATACATTTTGAGTGCCATTAAGTTTGCATTTCAACACTTAATGATGATATTATTATTATCAAGTGTTGTATGACCCTCAAGCTGTTATTTTTGACTTTTCTAAATGTCATTTTGCTGCTACAGCAAGCCTTTGCATTTTTTATTTTATTTTATTATTTTTTAGGGCCTTTGCAGCCAAACCACCACAGAACAGTGAAGCCACCTTAACTCTTTACCCCTTGAAAGCCTACTAGGAATAACCCTCTCCTGGCCCTAGTTCAAAATGTTAGTGAGAGTGGTCTCTGCCTATGCAACCACCCTTAAAAAACAAAACAAATAAACACAGAAACTATATAATGGTACAATGGGTTGCCAAATAGTGTCTTTAAGGGGGGAAAGTTAGTAAGCCTGCTAAAGAAGCAACAGGCCTGTCTACAGAAACCAGAAAGCATTTCTATGCTGGACAAATGTCAGTTTGTGAAAACGTGATTACACAAGTTTGTTTGTAGATTTGAATCACATACGCATGACATCTGAAATGCAAACAGCCCACCTAGGGTAGCCAGGAAAACTATAGGCTATTTATGCACACTCTAAAACAGAAGAGCCACAAAGTAGCTGCTACGGAGCCAAGTTGAAATCCTGGATATGAGCTGTTGGTTAGAGTGGAAACTCTCTTGTGTGCTATAAAAACATTTTAAAAAGATCTAACTAAACAAGCCCAAATCATTATCATCTATGCAGTACATTGTTTTCTCTAGATTCACAGCTGCAAACCCTTTAATCATCCCACAGCCATATTGCAGTCCAAATTATTGTATGTGTCTACCCCCGTCTGCTGTGGGTTGCATTGAGTTGAGGCATTTTTGCGCTGTACAAGTCTACAATGGGTATCAATAATCTATTGATAAAAACGTCCTTTGCAAATTAGTGCCTAATAATGTTCACACATGACCTCTGCACTCACCTGCCCCGGTGCTTCCATAGGCCAGCTGTGGCGGGACGGTGATTTTCCTGCGCTCATTCACACACATGCCCTGCAGACCTTTGTCCATCCCCGCAATGAGCCGACCCTCCCCGATCAGGCCGACTTTAGCTGCTCCTTTCTGATGGCTGTGAAGGAAACAAAGGAACGTCACAAGTGGGTCAAGAGAGGGCTGCCTCTGCGGATTGTGCATGTAGAGCCTTCATTAACGGAATCTGCAAACTTGCTTGAACTTGTAAATCATTATCTCGGTATTTTTGACATTTCTAAATGTCATTTTGCTGCTACAGCCAGCCTTTGCATTTTGGGGATTTTTTTAGGGCCTCTGCAGCCGACAATGAAGTAAAAACGTAAATTATAGCGTAATGTGGACCGACTCACCTCGAATCAAAAGTTTTTCCATCGATAAATGTTGCGTTATAGTGATAGCGGACGTAATCTCCGCTTTTCACTTCTCTGGCGCAGTCTTTGGGGATGAAGTATCTGTCCACGACTACATCTCCAAGCACAGGACTGGGGTTACACTCCACGAAAGAGCCGGAGATGAGAAGAAAAAGGGCAATGCAAAAGGAAAACATTGTTTGCAGAATAACTTAAAATGGATTTCAAATAAAAACGCCAAAAAATAAAAATTAAAAACATAAAACATAAATCAGTTTAAGCCCTGCGTTGGAGTGCGCTCTTCACAGCGCAGAGGGGCCGGGCTGCAGATGTGGAGCTGGGCAGCGGTGTCTGAATGCTGTAAACGTGGACAACCTCCAGCTCGCTGTACAAACTTTTTTTCTTACCATGGTGGAAGGAATGTGGGAGCTGGGAGAGGCAAGCCCCTCCGTCAAACTTACCACAATAAGAAAAGAAAAGAAAAAAAACATGAACTCCTTCAAAATAAGATATAGCCTTATAATAGCGGTAACTGCGTTTTACTGGGGAAACCACAAAGTAAAAAACAGTAATGATAAACATAACAGTACACAAGTCCCCGGTCATCACGTGCTTTTTGAAATACAAATCACTCCAATCGCTTCCCACTGAATGTTTTCCTCACATTGGTTTATAATTTAACCAAACACAGGCTTTGAAAATTGTTCTAAATCTCCTCATTCTGGCCTTTGCTTAAACATTATCTCTAATGCACAAAATGTCATCTTTTCAGCATATAACCACTTTGAAGTCTGTCAGTGCGTCTGGATACCTAAAAAATGTAACGTTTGCTTTTTATTTTGAAATTAACGGCGCCTGTACTTCTAGTGTGCTTTGACTCTTCAGCACCGCTGCACACAGCTGTGGGCAAACCGAATCGCCTCTTTGAGCCGTAAAGTAGCCCGAGAGCCTCAAATGTTTCAGCTTTTCATTAATGCCGTGAAGTTCTAGATCAGTCCAACTCATCTGGTGCTCACTTCCTTTACGTTGTCAAAAAAATCTTAAAGAAACACCCACACTATAGCACTTATGTTTTGAAAACAAAAAAGATGTCACGTGTAGTGAAGTTTTATTTATCTGTACAAATGAAAACGAGCTCTCTATAGATTATATGTACTGCTTATTGCGTGATATTACTTCAATTTGAAAACATTAAATGGAACTAAAATGAATGACTTATGAAAACGTCACCTTAGTATGACACAGTAATCGATGGAAATGATTTCAGATGTTTCTGTGTAGTCAACAGGATCTATGACGCATCCGTACCTACATTATAATTAAGTATTTTCGGCTCGCTAACATTATTTTCTAGAACTGTGATGTTGTATTTGTTGCAATTTCTTCTGCCCTCTTGGCCAGCTCTCTCTTGAAAAAGATCGTTTCAAAGATCGGAATGATCTCGAATTGATATCGGTATAAGACATGTTAGACAGATTATAGGCCAATAAGTCATTCACAACAGTTTCAGTATTGACAATCATTTCATAACCAATGCTGGATTTTTTTTTATTTTTTTTTTGGTAGAACGCTTTTGGGTATGGCAGGCGCCGAGGGCGCACTAGACATCCCTTTTACGCACGCGGCGACTATAGGGACAGCTGTGGGCCTACATTGAGAAACTTGAGACACAGCCGCGGCTGAAAGGCCCAATCCATGAATTCCAACAGACCCCTAAACGGTTCAGCAGACCACCACCACACAGTAAACGGTAAAGCATTAAGACAGAAGACGGAGGACTGCGATGTGACCTCACCATGGTGACATTATGCGCAAAAGTAGACTCGCTGGTAACACTGCTTTGTGTGACCTTTGTTTTAATGACAAAGGCACAATATGAAAACTACAATTTTCGAAATTTTTCCGGAGAGGACCTCATGCCCCTCACCGCTGCGTACGGGAAGGCGCTGGATTATTACGCAGCGGGAAACTGGACGGAATCGATCCAGTACTTGGAATTAAGCCTACGTTTGCACCGGCTTCTGAAGGACAGCGTGAGACACTGCGCGAGCCACTGTAACTCGAGCAAGCATGACGACGAGTCTTTTGCTGGATACCCGGATCTCCGCGTCTACTGGAACGTTATGATGAAGGCGACCTGTCAGAAGAAGTGCAGGGCGCTTTTCCCCGCGTTCCAGCTGCCTCCTCCCGGCCGAGAGATCCTGGAGGATTTCAGCAGAAGATCTCCCTACAGATACCTGCACTTTGCTCACTCACAGGTCAGACAACCTCCAATAAATTCACCACACCCATTTATTTAAAGGTATTTGCAATATGTTAAACTACTATGTTTTTTTTTTTTAAATACTTCCGTTTGGTTTGGATCAATATATACATTCTGCGTGTAGACTAATGACAAATTAAAGAAAAATAATAGGTTGATTTCACTTGGACGCGCAATAGAGCAGAAAACTTTAAACGGAGCCATGTGTAATATACCTCCAAATATTCCACTCTGTTGACTTTCAAATGTCGGACAAAAATAAATAATTCCAACTCCTGCAGCGATTTTTGCGGTGATTTTTAGTTTGTGCGATAGAAAAAACAAAACAAAAACAAAAAAACCCACAGACCTCTGTGCGCTATTTCACAACATCCAAAGTAATTTGTGTGCACAGCTGAATGACCTGCAGAGGGCGGTACCATGCGCCCACACCTTCCTCCAGAGGAACCCTGAGGACCAGCAAATGCAGCAGTTGATGGAGGACTACAAGAGCAAGTATGACCTGAGCGGCTACCTCATTGACCACGAAAAACGACCCTACGAGGTGAGAAGCGCTCAGCCATTGTTCTTAAAATCTGGAAAAGCCTCACCTGCAATCTCTTAAAAAAAAAAAGAAAAAAAAAGGAGTATGAAGTCTGCAAAGCAACATCTGCTTAAGTCAAAAACAGTTTGGAAATTGTTTAGATAAAGCAAAGAATGGGTTCTACTAAACACTGACTGTATTTACTACATTGATTGAGTCAGTCCAAAAATGTCCTGATGGAAAAGTCATTATGTTTTCAGTTTCAATGCCCCAAAGCAGATCCAAACTCCACTTGGAAAAAACCCCAGAAATACAAGCCAAAGCTTTTGTGTTGGCTCACACAGACTCCTGACCCAAACATGAAATCTTGACACGCTATCCTGCAAGAAACTACCTCACAAGTTGAAGTTATCTGCAAGGACGAGTGGGTGCAAAATTTGTATAAAGCTTCCCAAACTTATGCATTCATGTGTTATTGGGGCTAACACATACAAATCAGAAAACAATGAAATACTTCAATGAGACTGAACTGCTTGAGCTGTAGAAGGTGCTGTATTGGGCCTTTCTTTTATAAGTAATAGAGTGAACAAACTCTTTACTTGGATTATTTACAATTTGCCAGATAATGGTTTCTAATTTTGTTTCCAGACGTCATTTCTGAGAGGAGTGAAACTTGTGGGTTCGGGCGACTACAGCAGCGGTGTTCAAGAGTTGGAGGAAGCTCTGTGGCTCTACTTCCAGGAATATGACCTGTGTCAGGCCGAATGTGAAGGGATCACTCAACTTTTACCAGACAGAGACTTCTATGCAGTCATAGCAGGTTGGTGTGTCATATTTTAAAATGTCCAGATTATCAATATACTCACTAATGAGCATCTAAACGACACTAAAATCTTCTTTAAAAATAAATCTAAAATGTAAAAGCTGTGATTTTAGAATCAGAAATGATTCTGGATCCAGTGTTTCTTCCGTTTTTCAGCACACTACTAGTTTCATGTAATCTGGATTCTTTCTGCTTGTCAACAGATGCCTACATTGACACATTAAGGTGCAAACTGAGGTGCGAAGAAAACCTGACACCGAATATTGGGGGTTATTTTGTAGTGAAATTTGTGCCCACTGTTTACCACTACCTCCAGTATGCCTATTATAAGTGTAAGTTCAGCATCATCACAGATTCCGAATATTCTTTCTCAACACTTTCTGCTGTTGAATCTCTGAGTGTTTGTGGTCTGTGTATTTTCTGCACAGTGAACGATGGACGCAGTGCCGTGCCCTGTGCTCACAGCTACTTCCTGTTCGAGCCTGAGGACCCAGTCATGAAGCAGAACCTGCTATATTATAAAGCCTACAGTCAACAGTGGGGGCTTCAGTCCAACCACTTTACCCCCAGGATGGTAAGATGAAAATTGGAAAAGTTTGTTGCAGAATAAAATTGAATATTGCTCTATAATAATCATGCCACCAATCTTTGTCTTAACAGGAAGCTTTCAAACACTACAACCAGACAATAATGCAAAAAAAGATGTTGGCATTTGCAGAAACATACTTCGGTCTGTCTGATGAGGTGAGCTTCACACAAAAACAGCTCATTCTTTGGCCACATAAGAGCTTAGATTGCCTGAAATGCTGAATGAAATCCCTTAAAAACATTGATTATCCAATATAATCCAGTATAATCAATCTGATGTTTATTGAACATTCAGGGAGAAGTTTTGTGGCTGCATGTTTTAGCACTTTGTAATGTAATTGCGATCTGGATGGTTCTTCCAGGACTTTCTAGGACCAGAGGAGGTTGCACGGTCGGCCCCAGACTCTCCTGATGCTGAGTTTGAAGGTATTGGAGATTATGAGGAGTCAATTTATGCAAACTGGAAGCAACTGAAGGGCAAAGGGGATGCTGGCGAGTCAGACATCTGACAACTTTCTGGAGTTTACAGAGAATAGTCTGACTATAAGACTATAAATAACCACTTGTTACAACCAAGGTATGCAGAAGAGCGTCTGTGAATGTGCAACATAGTGCCACTCCTGTCATTAAGAACAAGAAACTGAGACTACAATTCACACAGGATCACCAGAACTGGACAACAGAAGCTAGACTGGAAAACTATTGTAGTCTGATGATTCCCACAGTCCGGGTTTCTGCTGTGACATTCAGACAGTGGGATCATAATTTGGCATTAACAACATAAAAGCGTGGATCCATCCTCCCTTGTAGCTACGGATCTGGGTTAGGATTATAGTTAACACATCATGTCACAAAGCTCAAATCATCTCAAACGTTTCTTAAACAAGACGATGAGTTCACTGTACTCAAATGGCCTTCACAGTCACCAGATCTCAGTCAAACAGATCACCTTTGGGATGTGGTGGAATGGGAGATTCCCATCATAGATGTGCAGCAACTGTGTGACAATATGTTGATAGACCAAACTCTGTGATAAATGTTTCCTGCACCTTGTTGAATCTATGCCACAAAGAATTAAGCATAAGCAGTCCTGAAGGTAAAAAGAGACCCAACCCTGTGCTAGCAGTACCTAATAAAGTGGCTGATCAGTGTAATTAGACTTTAAAACTAGTAATATTGTAGCTGTCACAACAAACCGGGTCGTTATGAATTATGAACATGAAACTGAAGTAGCAAGTTAGTCAGCGTTGCACAGATGGTCAACCAAATATTTACAAATTATCAGATACTTTCAAGCCAGATTCAGTACAGTTTAATACAGTATATTAAGCAAGTCGGTAACATTGTATTAAAATTGTTTAGCTGTAAACTTCATCTAATGTAACACAAACAATCAGCAACAAAAGTTTAATTATATCTGGATTCATAGCAGCAGACACTCATGCAGTGGATCACAGAGTCACTCGAGTTCAGGTAGGTTTTATTATGGGTTTTAATATACAGTAATATGAGTATTTACACTGAGAGCCAGGTTACCTAAAACTAGACAATGTTGGCTTTTAATAGTGAGTAGTGCCAAAGTCCTTTTAATAAGTCAAACTACAGTATGCGATCACAGCTACAGTAAACATGGTGTGACCTGAGCTTCCAGCACACTCAAGGACAGACATGTCCTAGAGATTTTTTCATGTTTCTACAGCGTTTATGGGTGAAAGAGTCCAACTGTAATTTTAACAGATATGTTAACCCTTTAAATGAAGCCTGTGGTGACAAATATTGAGCACGTGTGACGTTATATACTGTTAAAAGTCTTTTTCTTGTCTACAAAAACAATTTATTAAAGTTATTTTCAGGAGGCAGGAACCCCTTGTGTGATGGACTTCAACTCAACGTATCAACACTCCTTTAACGCTCCTGTAGGTTGGCTGGCAGTGTAACTCGGATAATTTCTTCTGGCACCTGTGCCAACGACTCTTAATGCTATTAATGATAAAATACAGCTTTGTGTGACAATCACAGGAGTATAAGCCTCTAAACCTGATCGACACGCTCTGTTACTCAATTTTTTAATGCACTTATATACTGCTCATTATGTGGATCTGTTCAGTCAGAAGTATATAACCTGTAACCATTTAGAGACAAAGCATAATCAGCTAACCCTCAGAAGCCAAATTAATAATTCATGTACATTTCTGGACTTGAGGGAGATCCTGCGAGACATCTGTGTTGTCTCGTTATCATTTTTCAGTATGAAAGTCTAATACTGGCATGTATAAAACACACGGCCGTAGCCTGAGTGAGAGCCAGTGACATTTCTGAGCATTCAGAGAAGCTGAGATTTCCCCTAAGATGCAAAGATTTACATCTCTTCTCGCTGATTAAATCATCCAAAACAAGCAGTTTCAGGCGGTAAAAGTGTTCTCTCTTCAGGCTTGTGCTTCCAGTCAGAGCGGCAGTGAGTCACTGCTGTCTAAAGGGTCAGTACATTATATTTAAACAGCACCCATGTTCAGCATACATGTATGCATACAGTATAGTTTGTATGCGGATTACAGGATCATACAGCGGGATGAAACATTGGGTGCATACATGTGCAGCTGGCCATCCAACACCATCCCTCGCAGGTTGGAACTACACGTTCATACATTAGCAATTATTATGTAGAAGCATTGATTTAGGATTAGGAAAGGAAGCATAAGGGGAGAAATTATGGCTATTACTCTGGAATGTAAAGGTCTACAAAACAAAACCCTCATCTAGACAGACAAGATGTCAGCAGCCTGATATTTTTACACTTCTATTACAGCTAAAGTCACACTTCTGAGAGGAGGTGGTTGTGCTCTCCACGAGGTTAAATATGTAACTGTTCTCTAATACAAGGCTTCATTAAACAAGTCAAGACTGAGCGAGGTGCATGGCCTACCTTCTGTGAAATCATTTAAAGGGGTGAAGCTTTTTAACAGTCAGTACAGCAGAAGACCTGCTGTGACCTGTCGAAGCGAAAAAAAAAAAAAAAGCTTCTGTGTGTGTCCCAGACAAAAAGAAACAAAGATGTGGCAAAATGAAACAGGAGAAGGTGACGGCAGCAAAAGTGACTCAGACAGCTACAGCCAGACTTTATGGTCTGTAGGAGTGCCCTCAGAGCTTCCATACTCCTGATTTATTTTTCCAGGTGGCTTGAGTACCAACATAAGAAACAGGAAAAATCTGAGGGCCAGTAATGGAAGACATCTTTGTTTTGTCTCCTCAGAGTGGACTGCACACAGTGTAAGGAAGATAGGACAGCAGAGAGATATGACTCAAACTCCCTTAGATCTGGAAAGAGAAGAGGAATGGGGTGGAGAAAAAAAACAAGAGGAGAGGATAAGGAAGATAAAGAGGTGGGAGAAGAAGATAAAGATTGAGTCCCAAACTGAAAAGCCAAAGACGAGCCTTTCAGTTTTCTACAATGTAAATGACAGAGGCAAAAACTGAGGAGAAGCAATCAGCAAAGGTTTAACTTTGCTCGAAAAACTGCTTTAATGACTAATTTAAAAACAGCTGCCAATTAATTTTCTGTTTACTAATCACTAAAGCAGACAGAAGATCAAAATATTTAAAAAAAAAAACATTAATAAAAAGTGAACCTTTTATTAATGAAATGATACAAATCAACACAGAAGCTATATGCTAGGAATGGCAACCAACTCTGAAGCGGCACGCAGCACAAATAAAAATGAAGCAAACTAGGATAACACAGTGAATAGGAGTTTGTATATTTTATGAATGGGTACTGCAATATGCACAGGCTATGTAAAGACTGTAGTATGTGGCATTGCTTTATGCCATTGTTTCTATACAAATACACATTAATAAAAAAAAGGATCATAAATGAGGAAAAATAAGAATAAAGAAGCAGGTAACAGATACAAGTGAGAGTCCTTAGAAAAAGGTCAGATGATTCTTACAAAACAGATGGCAATACAGTGATATAATCATCAGTGGTTTAATGATGTCCCAGCTTTGGGATCAGCTCTGAAAGGTGGGATCGTACCTTCCTTTCCGGATATTTCTGGAAGTGATGCAGGAAAAAGATAAACAGGGACAGCAATATTATCAACTTTGGTGTTCAAGGAGCAGTGTGATAAAAAAAACAAACCACGCAGTGCAGAAAAACTGGCATTTACTTCAAATCTCACATCTTCATCTTTTGCTATCAACAAAGTAAACTCTACTGCCTGCCGGTGCAGGATCTGTCCGGGTAGATACAAGCTATAGTTATGAGATGAAGGCAAAAGATTATGACGAGCGCATCCGTTCCTCTGCATACTGCAGGCGTGCCACGGCAAAGCTAGCATGAGACAAGACAAAGCGGATAAAGCAGGCAGAAGAAAGACGATTGGGAGTCAAATCCAGCTGTGCACACTGAACTATGGAGAGACGTGCTTTCTAATATGTGCACCAGTATGCCAGAGAAAACTTCAAAGAGCGCCTCACCAATGCAGCAAAGCACTCCTAACATCACTAAAGTGAGCTGTTGGTGCCATGCAGAGAGGAGGAGAGGGCTGCAGAGGTCTGAGCATACCCAAACACACCCATTGAATTGCTGAGGTCAGTCTGACATGGGAACTTACAGCAGTTTCACCATCTTGGACAAATTTACCCGAGAGAATAGCAACTAACTGTTGATTAATAAACTGTTTTTTTTTTTCTTGAATTAACTGTATTAAGTAGAAAAACATGCCCTCAACAAATTCCTGTCCCCAGAAAGCTCAGCCAACAAACCTAACCCTAATTTTGTTACTCTTCTTCAAATAGGAGTCAAATTCTAATCATCATCATCATCATCTCATGCCATGATGCAAGTTTCAGGGAAGATTTTATGTAAACGAAACAAAACAGCAAGCTACTGAAATGCTTTCATTTGTGCCAAATTCCTCGACATACCCACAGATGGTGAACCATCTACTGCACATCCACCCGCTTTAAGAAGAAACCCACATGCTCTCTTGTGGTGAGTATGGATCAGGCTGCAAGCAGAGAAGCGTTCAGCAGCGAGCTGCAGGCAGGCGTCTACGTTAGCTGACAGAAGGAACACGGCAGGCACACACAGACGGAGGCATGCCAGAGCTCTTACTTAAATCCCCAACCAGTTCCCCCCAGGATTATCGCCGCCAGCAGAATAGCCCCAGCAACCGAGCCTATGATGATATTGGTACCACTGGGACCTGTGGGAGCGAAGGAAGAGGCATATAGGCGTGCTGAGAACCAATAAGTCACTTTTTGGGTAGTTAATATACGCATTATGTACATATGGAAAATAAAATAGGCTTCATGTTCTGCACCACATACAGTCAGGTCCTTAACTATTTGGACAATTACACATTTTTTCCTCCTCTTGAAAATGAGGTGCTGCATAAAAATGGCTCCAATTTCCAAACAGTAAATCCAATAGTTTGCTAAAGTTGACAGTCGGCACTTCAATTAAATCTTGATGATTTAATTTAAATTAATCTGGTAGTGCACAGAGGTTATAAATTACAGAAAAGGTCAAGGTCAAATTTATTTATATAGCACATTTCAAACAGCAGATGCTGCACAAAGTGCTTAACAATATAAAAATGGTATTAAAAGCAACAATGTAATACAATAATAACAGTAAAAAACAATAATAGGACAGTAAAAGAATTAAAACAATAACTAAACTAATTCAAATAAGACCAAAATGCTTGGGTCAAGAAATGTGTCTTTAGTAAAGATTTAAATTGCTCAAGTGTTTGTGCAGATCTAATATTTAAGGGGAGACTATTCCAAAGTCTGGGACCTGCCACAGAGAAGGATCTATCACCACGGGATTTGAGGTTAGTCCGTGGGATGGACAGCATTAGTTTTGAGCTAGACCTCGTGGTTTTTCCTGGAGCATAGGCAGAGAGGAGCTCAGACAGGTAAGGAGGGTCTCGGGCATTAAGTGACTTAAAAACAAAAAGTAGAAGTTTAAATTGGATCCTGTAGGAGACAGGAAGCCAGTGTAAAGAAGCTAAAACTGGGGTTATATGCTCTCTCCGTTTGGTACCAGTTAGCAGGCGAGCAGCAGCATTTTGAACCATCTGAAGACGATGGATGGTGGCCTGATCTAGACCATAGTACAATGAATTGCAGTAGTCCAATCTGCAAGTAAGAAAAAGGTGAATAACACGCTCAAAGACGTTAGCTGGAAGGTATGGCTTTACCTTGGCTAGCTGTCTTAACTGAAAAAAAACAGGACTGAACTACTGCACTCACCTGCTTATTCAATTTAAAAGAACCATCAATGTAGACACCGAGGTTTTTTACATGACAAAAGAAGTATCACATTTATTGAAATAGCTGTATATTAGTTTGATTTAAGAGATGGGTAAGGGTGTAGGTGTGTATGTAGATGATTTTCTGTTAAAACATTTTAGTTGATGTTCATAGATCAAAAATGAAACTTTAGAAAATCCTAGTACAACCCCAACCAAAGTTTAATTTTTCTGTTTGTTTATTTTTTAAAAATTAAATAAGCCTATTATTACTCCTCCAAGTTTTATTTTGAATTTTTTTTCTTTGTTCTGTCTCTGCTGGATTCACTGTAGCTGCAGTTTGTTGTTGAAGAGAAAACAAATGAACTGTAATTATTTATTAATATTTTTTTTAATTAATTGTCGCATCTTTTCAATAAATTATTAAACAACTAAATATTATAAAAAGCACATCATATTAAACAGCATGAATAGGTATGAACTTAAGATACGGACTTCAGATACGAAACCGACTTCTGCAAATGATTAGATGATCAAAAAGCAAATGGGCTCTGTTACTTTAGTGGAGCTGGCGGTGCGGAGTCTGTCTGATGAAAGGACTAAACTGCTCTGTGAGGTTACCTTTGTACTTCTCTGGGCCATCTGGCGAGGTGGGGGTTGGGATCGGGTCAAACACACTGCAGTCCTTCCCGGTGTAGTCTGGATCACAGATACACTTCACCTCGTTACTGCACGTCTGCATGACACAGAGGACGAACATAGTCAAAGCTTTATAAATGAGATGACGTTCTAAAGTCCAAATTTGAAACAAAGGAAGCTCCGAGGTGGGACAGATGGTGGTTGTGGACTCACCCCGTGGTGGGAGCAGATACGCAAGGATGAGGATCCAGGGCAGGTGCTGAGGTTGAAGGTGGTAACGGGGAAGCAGCGACGCTCCAAACACATCATGTTCGGCCCACATGGTGTCCCATCTTCCACATAGCCCAGATCCAAGCCATCATCCAGCACTGCGTGACCACCCCTGTGGGTCAGACAGTTATGTCAAATCATGCTTACCTAATATAATAATGTCTTCATGTGCAATCTTTTCCAAAAGGCTAATTTTCTGAGTGCATTCATCCACTACTGACAGGACAAAGAACTAAAATTAAAAAAAAAAAAAAAAAAAAAAATAGATGAAGCTGACATTTTTTCATGCCGAGGTTTTGAATTTCATCAGGCTGCCTCACCTGCAGTCCAGGTATCTGCTCTGATGGTGGATGGTCAGGCTGGTGACCTTTCCCTGCAGCTCGCCAAATCTCGGTCTGTCTGTCAGATTGGTGCAAAGCAGCAAACCACACAGAACATCCCTGATGCAGGAAACCGAGAGAAGATGGAACAATAAAAGCTTAAAAATATTCCAGATAATCTAATTATAGGTCACAGTTCTGTTGTTATACACAGAAAGTTATATTCACTGACTGTTTATTGCACGGCACCCATCCCTGGCCACTGGAGTGTGGACCACAGTTTCCTCTCTCTGTGCCCTCAGAGTTCAGCTTTTCATAGCAAAATCTGTCAGCTGAGTCTGGGAAAAGAGAACAAACTCGCATTTATTACAGGGAGTGTTACAATTAACTTATTAAGAAGATGTAAAAACACAGCGGTTATGGCCAAAGAAAAGCGTTAGCATGAATAGCTATTAGAGGGCAATAAAAAAAATAAATCAAGAAATAAAGCTCATTATCAAATCCAAACCTACTGAAGCCCCACAGAGTCTTGCACTGGCTATCTCTGGTCTTGCAGCGACCTCCATAACAGCGACCCTGGCAGGGAAAAGAGAGGAATTAAAGATGCAGAGCAGATAAGAGAGGGAGGGAAGAATGTGCTATTAAATATAACTGTAATTGAACTTTACTTGGCCATCTTCACACGTGTAGCCATCCAGTTTGTGGACATTATGGGGACACTGGAAGAGAAATAACATCATCTGCCTTTTTAGAGTCACTGTGGGTGTTAGATCTCTGAATTTCTCTGCAGGGTGCTCTTTTTCACCTGGCTCGAGTCTCCCGTGCAGGTCTCAGGAATGTCACAGTCATTCACAGCACTGCGGCACGTCACCCCTCTCAGCTCATACTGCATCAGCAGCAGAGGAGAACACAAATGTGAGACATGTGGAGGAATGGTGCACGGAAAATGAGATGGACACACAGTCAATCTGTGCTATCTAGTTAGCTCCTCCAAGTCCAAAGCTGGTCTACAGCTATGAGCTCTGTCAGCGTCCCCACAGAAGTCGAGCTCCATTTAAATATTTAATTTTGCCTCAGTTATGGAGGAAATAACAGTCCTCTGTTAATGAACCAGCAACACTGGCTGCACCTCTACCAAGATTTTATATCAGTTTGCACCATCGTAGCATTTCCAATCAGCCTGACGGAAATGCAACCTTATATTCTCAGATAAGGTATCAGCACAGGGATCTTGGGGATGGAAAGAATTATGGTTTAATGCATTAAAACAGCTTACCTTACAATCACTGCAGCAGAGCCCATTGCTGCACATGGCATTATGGGTAAGAGTGCACTTTTTGCAGCAGTTGGCTCCACTCAGGGTGCACTCCTGCAGGGAAAGAGAGTGTTTTCTTTTAGGTCCTCACATCCCAAACTCATAACTAATACCTACACTTACAATCTAACACAGTATAAAGACAAAACTAGTTAAACCATCGTTGAATTAATTAGTTTATGCTCACCACCAGTGATCCACAGTCGCATTCCTCTCCAAGCTCTACATACCCATTGCCACACTCTGATGGGTCTAGGAGCTACGTGGGAAACAGACGGTAAAAACACATTTCTAAAAGGCACAATGTGAATCCATTCAGTCTATAGCAAGAGATGAGTTTTTCTTATATTTCTATCCCTACAAAAGAGATTAATCTTGACCTTAAGAGCCTCTGATAGTAACTGACTATCTCTCACCTTCGTGGGCTTGTTGAAGAGGCAGCTGCCTCCACCCTGCTGGAGGAAACGCAGATACTCATCTATACTACAGCGAGAGAACTTCCTTGGCAGGTAGTAGCTGATTAACACAAGAAACAGAAAATATTTAGCAATTTATCAATTAACTGAAAAATCTGTTGAAAATCAAAAGACATCTGTTTTTGCTCAGAATTCTTACTAAATGTACAGAAAGCTTAATTTATTGTTACCCTGTATCCTCCATGATACAGCCCAGCCACGGATCTGGACACCTGCAGTCACCTGGAGAAAAGAAAAACAAGCCTGTGCTGAAACTGAGGATGTGCTTGTTATACCTGAAACAGTGAGATGATGCGTTTGCTCAGTGATAAATGTATAAGAATAGGCTCAGTGGGCAAATTAAATGAGTGCTGTTTATTAGATTTCTTATGGTGGTGGAGGGATGATGATTTGGGCTCGTTTTAAAGCCACAGGATCTGATTATCTTGCAGTCACTGAGTCTAACATGATCTCCTCTGTATGCCAAAGTATTCTAATCTCAAATGTGAGTCCTGTGCAAGGCTTTAGTTCAGTTTTACCAGCAGCTGTTCGCTCCTTGTTCCTTAGCATGCCGATGTTCTGACCAAGACTCTGAGACAATGTGATGGCCATAGGACCCACACTGCCAAACTGAAGAAACACACAATCAAACACGCTAATAATTATCCTCACAAATATCAATATTTAGAAGTTTAGTAGACAGTAGAGAGCACAAATGTCACCTCATTGATCCCTCCACCCCGAGTCAACGAGCAGATGCCCCCAATGTAGGCTGCCTCGCTGCGGCTGCTCATGAACGTCCTCCCACTGTGGCAAAGACAAGACTGTTAGGAGAGAAGGAGAGCAAGCCGGAGGAGGATGAGGACAAGAAAATAAAGACTCACGAGAAGAGATGCACAGCATCAACGCGCTCCTTGATGCTCTCCTTCCTGTACTTCATGAAGTCACGCAGGGTGAGCAACGGGTCATCGCCGACAGCGACCCTGTTTTCAGACGACCAGGTTTCCATGGCTACCAGGACGATGCGAGTGTTGAGCTGCTCCTTGTAGATCTAAAAGAGATAATCAGCACGTGATTGTGCATCCTCACCTGGTATGTAATCAATTATTTAAGTGCCCAATTTCTGTGAACAGTTGCAGTAGACCCCTCTGAAAGGAAGAGGGTGCTGTGGGATAAGGCTGTGGACTAGTTCCTTCTTTATAATAGAGTACAACAGCTCAGTCTCGAAGAAAAATAGCTCGTCTTAGATGGTTCTGTCTATTCTTTTAATGACAGCTTCATGAAGCTGTGTAAATTAAATTTCCATATAAAATCTTTTGTCAAAGCTAAATTTGTCATGGTTTAGGTAGGAGGTCATTCAGTATTCATACATATTGGAGGAATATGCAAATCACTAATATTCCCAGTGCAGCTGGTTAAAGATGCTTCAGCTAGACCGTAACATGTAAACCATCTTTCACTCATCCTGGCAACGTTTCCAATGTAACCTTTTGCCGTCTACCTAAAAATCCCTGTCAGAGCTGGTTAACTCCAGATCAACCCTCCAGATAATTCCATCTGAAATCTTTGGATACAATCTGTTACGCTTAAATGTGCTATAATAATTCATATTTATGAATAATAAAGATTTAAATTGTGCAATATTGCATATAATGGAGACAGTTGTATCCATCTACTTCAGTGATGGAGAAGGAAGGCAACAGCTGGTTGCCACAGAAACCGTCACTGTCCCCAGCCAGTGAAGGGTTTCACATGCTGAGGACAAAAGCATGGAGTGATTTTTTTTTTTTGCTCTTCATTTGGCTGTTTTAGAGGATAATCATATGCAATCAGCTCCATTCCACACACGGCAGGAAAAAGGTTTTTATATAAATGATACAAAAGGCTCACAGTGAGTGCTCTGAGGTTTCTGACTGTAAAGGTTCATCGCTTTACTCCGTTCATAATAAACATCTCCAAAATAATTCATCCTCCAGTATAAGCACCATTTGTCCTACTTAAAATCTAAACATGCAACATTTTCACTTCTGTTTGATGTGCAATACTCTGCAAAAGTCTTGGCTCAGCCCTCATTTCTTCATATTTTAACAGGAAAATGGGAAATAAATGGGCCATTTATTGAAACATGTGCAAACACACATGCAAAAATAGTATAAAAGGTAAAACTAAAGTTTGAGAGTGAATATGATTATCTTTACTCTTCAACACAGGCTGAACTCTACTAGTCAAGCTTTCCTGTGATTTCTTTAAGTAGCCTTCAGAAATATTTCACCAGGCTCATTGAGGACAAAAAAAAGCTCCTCTTTGGATGTTGGCTGCTTTTTGTTCTATTCTGTCAAAAAAATTCCCATATTGCTTAAATAATGTTGAGGCCCACTCTGTGGAGGCCAGTCCATGACTGATGGTGCTCCGTTGTTTGCTTTTTCTATCCAGGTATGCTTTTGCTGCACTGACAGTATGTTTGGGATCATTGTTATGCTAAGAATTTAGGCCACTGTCAATCAGAGTAAAAAAAATAAAATAAATGGCTACAAATGGCTGTAGACACTCACTGTTGTAGCTCTCTCCACCTCCTCCGCACATACTGATCACATTTTTGGTTCAAATTAACAAGATTGAATTCATCCCATTTCTTAAAGACATGACTTCCGCATACTGTGGCTACTTCTTTTGTCCTCCACTTTTCCATGCCAATCCCATTTTTCAGTTGGCAGCTCTTTGAGAATCACCTTGTTGGTGCAAAAATACTATTTTATGTCTGTCAAACTGATATTTTTGACACTTTTAATAGATTAAACTAAAGAAATTATAACAAATTATGTGCTTTAGCAACAGACTGCTAGTAACAACATGCCTAAAGACACCATTTAAGATACCTCTTTGGTTTTTTGCTAAGCTGTCATGTGTGTAGACACATCCCTTGATTAAGGTGCCATTTTTTATGCTTGAATGATTTATGGGCGAGTGTTAAACATTCCTCTCAAAAAGGTCAGATACATGAAAAAGAGTGAAAAAGCAGCCAATGTCCAAAGAAAACCTATTGCATTTGAGAAAAAGAAATGAATAATAATGGACATGGCTTAAAAACAAAGTCACAGTAAAATGGCTTGTAGGACTTTCCCCAAATACAAAACGGCAGCTGTCCAACTCAGAAATGTTTCATCTGCCAGAAAAGCCTCTGAAATGTGGCAGCAGCCATAAAGAAAGCTTGAGAGCCCCTGATTCAATATGAGGGAAGCCATGCTTAAAGAGAAAACAATCAAAACATCAAGAACTCAAAAACATTTAAAAACTTACAGATTTTTTGTTACATTTATACCATCTACGCCTGTCCTTTAAGCACTGAACATCAAAGGTTTTATCTGCTGCAGGGCTTAAAACTATTCTTATTAAAAATATAAAAATAAACTCCTCACCAAATCTGCCATGTTCACCACCGATTTAGAAAAAATCTTCGTCTGCGTGGTCGACCGGCGTAACTGCACAAACTAAAAAGAGAAGACCATGTTACTGCAAGACTCACAATCAATTATTATCACTCCTGTTACTCAAACAAGGCAAAAGAGAACTTGTGGGAGCTGCCGGGTTCACAGATACCAGTTCATAATCGTTGACCACCATCAGCTCGATGTACTTGGTCTCAGTCTGGACGGTGCGTTGGCCTCGCCTCACCTGGAAGAGGGCAAAATAAAATCCACAGAGCCAGACGTTTGAGCGTGCTGTCACTTTAACCTTGATACAAGATAAACAGACAGAACACCACAACACTATTACTCACACTGCATGCGTGCACACATGCTGACACTGATGAAACTCTAGAGTGTGTCCTTGAAAAGGCAACACAACATGGAGATCATTCATAAGCAGATTTTAGTTACTTCTGCCTGAAAAGATAGACTTCAGCGTGAGCGTGATCACTTTAGATGTTTGATAGAAAGAAAAACAATGGCTCTGAAAAATAAATGTGCTCAGGTGGGTTTTCTTTTTTTGTTTTGTTTTTTTAAATACTCAGACCTAAGTACAGCATGTTGAGCAAACAACTGTCATCACATTTCGATTCTAACTTTATTATAGTGTGATTAGTCCAGAGAGCACGAGACTGACTTATCTCAACTGAAACCAGCTTTGCACTCATGAAAGAGCCCATTGATCACAGGTAAAAATGGGGTTTGCTGCCACTGAAGGTCATTTTTTAATTTGTAGTACTTTGGATAATGCTGAAAGATGAAAAGTTACAGGCAAAAAAATCATTTTATTACAGTTGTTTTTAAGTCTGCTTTGAGTTAGCCTGAAGGATGCATACAGACATCTGTGCAAAGCCAAACATTCACCCTGTGAAGGTAAAATTAATGAGGAACCATAAAGGCTGTCGCCCAGACAGACATATGTTCAACTTCACACCTTCACTTCTTTGTACGGGTCTACAAGTCTAAACAGAGTTCAAATTTATTCCAGAGGTGTTGCCTCAGAATTTCTCTTTTTTTTTCCCCCTAGGACTGTTTTTAATCAGAATTAAAAATGAGTCATATCATCATCTGACTTATTTGTAAAATGTTAATTTCTCCTCACTGATGATTCTCTGTTGGTGACTCTCTCAGCATTGCTGCTGCCAAAATGATCCCAGCGGGCCAACTGTGTGTTTGGAGGTGTGTGTGCAGATGAAGAATCAGAGCTTGAAGGAAAACTGACTTGTCTTCTTGAGCGTCGAAGACCTTCTGTGAGTATCGGCTTTTCTTCGGTAGACCAGTTGACTTCATCGCTTAGCTCGCCATCCTCTTCGCTTTGCCTGTGTGACTGCATCTTAGCCTCTGTGCTGTTCATGGAGCATCCTGCAACACATAAGCAGACACCACTGAGAGGGAAAAGTGGCTGTTATCATTCCAGTGATGGATGCAACCATGTATTTTAGTCCAGTGATCTGCAGGAGAAATCAATATCAGAGCCCGTGGTAGGGAGAGCAGAAAAAAGGGGAGCGCATGAGCACAAATGGAGAGAGTTAGGGGTGAAGAGGCACAGAGGAACAGGAATGAGCGGGGAGGTGACTCCAGAGAGGAAGAGTAAGGGTCAAATGGGCGAGGTGGAGAAGGAACGCAGCCAAATGAGACGTTTAGGAAGGGCGTGGAGGACAGATGGACAACCTGAGGACACTGAACGTGAAGGGAGTGAAGAAGCAGAACCAAACAGGGGCTTGCATTACAGAACATTTGACTGCATTAGATAACTGTCAAGGACAAAAGTGTCGTCTCCAAACAAGGAATAGCACCAGCCTTTGAGGTTTAGTAACAAACTGCGTCTCGTCAGGGTTTCATCAAAATAAGATCCAGATTTTTAAATGTATCTTTTTCCCCACCACTAACAGCTCCTCATAGTCAATTTCTGTATCATTAAACCAATGAGAGCTTATATGAATACTGACATTTGGAAATTACTGTACGAGAAAAAAAACGAGAGGACTTACCTGGACAGGGAGGTGGAAAAAGGTCAGTGTTAGGCATTCGAAACACAACGTGGTCATTGTTCTCCTGGAGGGCGACAGGGAAGAACACAGAGGGAGAGGAAGATGGAAACAATTTAATGAATGTCAATTTTTTTCTGTAGCTGAAATGCAGCAAGGGAAGCCAACAAAGAACAAAGAACCACACACAAGCAGCCAGTCTTTTTCTTGTTTTGTCTAGTTTACTTTTTTCACTAATCAGCAAAATCCTTATTTTAAAAGAAAAAAAATATTATCGAGGGCTGAAAAACTGCCTGAATCTTCTTTGCAGAGCCAACTGGTCTCAAAAAAAGAGGAGACGTAGAAACAAAAGGTGCAAAAGTAAATGATACTAAATCATTAAATGATTCTAAAAATCTGGAGAAATCTGTGGGGGAAGTTTCCCACCCCACAATTAGTCCTGGATGCCTGTGATCTTCATACCCTCAACCAGCACTGCATTAAAAACAGATATGAGTCAGTTAAAGAAATCACTGCATGGGCTCAGGAACTCTTCCAGAAATAATTGTGAGCACAGTTCATTGTGCCATCCACAAATGTACAAATGCATATTAACACAGTCCTCAGGACTAAAGAGGAGCGGGACCTCTTTAGTTGTTATTAGTCCTCAGTTCAAAAGCCTGCATCCTTGATGCTATAGGAGTGCATTAGTGCCTATGGATTTGGCAGCTTGTACACCTAAAAAGGTATATATAGGGTTTAGAGCAACATATGCTCCCATCCAAATGGCGTCTGTTTCAGTGAATGTCTTGCATATTTCAGCAAGACAATACTAAATCACATACTGCATCCATTAAAACAGCATGTCTTTTCAGTAGAAGGCCTAACTGCAGCCCAGACTGCTGAGCAGCTAGAATCCCATGTCAGGCAAATATTTGATCTCATTACTCTTCCAAAACTCCAGCAACTGCTCTCCTCAGTTCCCAGATGTTTATGGGATGCTGCACAGAAGTAAACATGGTCTTTTATGACCAGGGAGGAATTGAGCTTCAATCAGGTACTCAGAGGACCTGTGCTTATGTGTATATGTCACTCATCTTGGGATTTATGTGTCATAATTTTTAATGTTAAAAAAAAAAGCAAAAAAAAAAAAAAATTCTAAGTGAACCAGCAGCCGGTAGAGATTTGGAATAAGTGGAAATCTGAGCCTTGAAAACCTGTACTGGGATTTGATCGACAGACGTGAAACTGCAGAAAGCATTCAGTTAATGGATCTTAATGCTGCTGAAGTATTAAATATAGTTTAGAAAAACATATGCTTAAATCATAGGAAACATGAATGGACTTCTCATTGTGAACTTAAAGCTTCTGTGTGGAAAAAAAAAAAGTAGAAAGTGCTGATGCATATTTAATCAATCACAGGGCTGTCATAATGGCAGCAACTCCACTGGACACAGTGGTACACTTGAGCTGGGGATAAATACTTTATGAAAATGACCCATTTGAGAGAGAGCTGAGGAGAGAGGAAGAGAGTGAGGGAGTTTGAAGATGAGCTGAGAGGCTATTGATTCATCTCTCCAGTCTATGTAATTGAGCTGTACTGCGATCACTGAGCCTTAATGGAAAAGAAAAAAAAAAAAAGGCTCAGCCTCTTCCTCTCTAAACACTTTTATCCCACTCACATCAGTCACTCTGTTGAATCTCCATTTATTTTAAATGCAGCTCTTTTAAGATCAAAATCTGAATATTTGTAAAGGGCCAAACTTTCTTTTTGTCAACTTTTCCTTCGCTCACCTGCCTCCAGCAGATAATCTGCTTCTTTTCAGACACTGGAAATGTTTCCGTGGTGGTGGTTTGTGTGTATATTCAACACTTTCCACTCAGAAACTCAGAGATAGAGTAACACTGACGGTAAGTTATGGAGAGCGGAGATACTGTGAGAAAGTGAGACCTGACAAAGCAGCTCCCAAACATGATTCAAAGTCCTCTACTGAAAGAGAGTCTATTACATGTGGCCTGCTTAAATAAATATATAAATAAAAGTGAAAGAAAAAATATGAACGCATTGTCTTTTCACATCTTTTCATGGCGTCGCCGGAAGTTACTTACCGCTCCAGTGCCAAGAGGTTCGATCCCGTAAGAGAAGTTCCCGTCAGAAAACATCCCCCTAAATAAAACAAAATGATCATGTATGATAATTGCTTCACCACTTCTTTTCTAAAATGTGTTTCTATTTATCAGAAAACAAATAGAAAGGTGGATCGGAGGAAGGTGAGAATTATTTATTTTATTTTAAACATAACTGACCCTTCAGTCTTTAATCTTGGTTCAATAATGTTGAGCTCCAGGCTCTGGGGAAGCAAATCCATAACTGCTAATGTTCTACTGTAGATCTATGTTTTTATTTGTGGTATTGCATTGTGGATAAAAATCCAATCACACTTTTCTGCTTTCATAATTAGTTAAAATTATGAAAGCAGAAATGATGAAGCCTCCAAAACCCCAGCAGAGCCTCTACCGTGTTTTATAGATGGCTGTAGAACAATGTTCCCTCTAATTTTTCATGTGTCTGAGCAAACACACAAAGTCCCTGAGCAGACACTTGGACCACTGTGAGCAACAGCAGACGTGTGCACTGTGGTCACGCCAGCATCGAATCCATCCAAGTTACATGGTTTATTAAAATAATCAAATTACAGCATTTATGTTAGACTACTTTTAATTAACTGCTTTAGCCCACTTACAATGGAAAAAAAATAAAATAAATCTTGTTCATGACCTGTGTAGTATGTTAACACTATTGGAAGTAAAGAAAACAAAACTCTCTCTCCCTCTTTTTTTTTTTTTCTTCTTTCTTTTAAATAGAGCTCTGACTTGTATGAGTATGAGTCTGTGGTCTGTCCTGTAACTCTGTCTGCAAAATACAGGATATAATGACCAATGTTGGACAATTAATTATATAGCTACTTCTTCAAAAAAAGTAAAAAAAATAAATAAAAATTGCAGCCGTTTACCTAAAAATGCAGCCAAGGCGTTTTTTTTAAATAAACATTTCAAACTATTTACAGAACAATCAGCTGTTCTGCATCAAATTTGATGCCACACAAATCATTTGTGCCACTCCAAAAAATAATTTCTGCCCACTCTGAGATAAAGGAGAACAACAGCCTGACAACAGGAGATGTATCACTCCTGTAACACCTGTAACATTCAGCAGTCGCCTCATTGTTCTGACACACACAACAAAACTATTGACTACACGCTAACAACACAAGAGTTGTGTCACAAATCTCTCACATCTCAAAACACCGCCGTCATTCCTACAATTTCCCCCTTCCTAAACAATAAATGCCATGTTGCCATATCATTTTTTGATTGGTCGACATGGTACATTTTTCGACCAATAGGAAAGGGTGGGGGTTTTTTGGTTCTGTTTTTGCTCACAGGCTTTCGAGTGTTTTCCTTATAAAACGCTGTTTTTAACCGTTTCTTCCTGCAGTAAATATGAACAACGATAGTATTCAGGAAGAAAACCAAGCAAATATGAAGAAATGTGGCTCAAGACTTTTGCACAGTATACTGGTGTGTGTGCAATTGGATTTGATTTTAAACAATTAAAATCAATGCTTGGGTTCTCATTTGTTGTAGTGACTTAATCTGAAATGTAGCCCCACAGCGTTGGACTCACTGCAGGCCGTGGCAGGTTGACAAAGCAGCCCAGGACCCCGGCACTCCTCGTATTCGCCCGTGGTAGAAGCAGTGCTCCCCTCCCTGAAACCAAACAAGAGGTAATAGTGAGACACTGATACTGTCATCATCCAGTAACATGTACATGTCAAATTTCAGAAAATGAAGCCAACACCGTCTGCGAAGCCCTCGATGCTACTGATCTTTTGGCCCATATATACATAGGTAGGTATTTTCTGTCAGCGTGAGGCCTATGATCAACCAGGAGGGTTGTCTGAAGGAGATCAGTGACTACTGTATGATTTGGTGTCTGGGGAAACCTACACCTGCTGCAGCTGCTACAGCTGAGTAGAGTTTCAGCAAGGGAAAGGAAGTGTGCATAACAGAGTGTGAGTGGGTATGCATCAGAATTTCCTAATTCACTGGAAGATAGCGTCAACTACAGCTGTCTGAAGCACAAAATTCATTAAAGTCAAGGTTGAACCCATTTAAGTTGAAAATGAACAGGTGTTTTATAAGGAACTGCTCAAGTCCATCAGCTGGGAAGTACACAGGATCTCAAACTGTATCCATCACTCACACAGACACCTGACATGGGCATATTAGACAGACACAACGTCAATGATGTATTAGTTCACATGCCTCTTGATCCATTACATTTCACAGGTTACTGTAATGTGTAAAATACAGAAAGAAAGTGATATGCTTTTCTGTCATTTTGTGGCTGTAATGTACAAATTAATGAGAATTAAAATCCACCAAGAAGACTTAAGACTTACAAGCGATCCTATCCAGAACAAATGAATCTTGTCGATCACCAAATGATGAACTCCTTCCGTTCAGGAGTATCATGACTTAGCACTTTGCTAATGGTAAATGGACTCAAAGCACTTCCTACTACAAGTCTTATTCACACCAAGCACACATATATTCATACAGTGCTTAAATAAATGCTTAAGCAGTTTAGCTCAAATTCACATGCACACTCTCTGATGGATGCATCAGGGGCAACTCGGGGTCCAGTATCCTGCTCAAGGATAGTTTAACACATAGACCAGAGGAGCTGGGGATCAATTCGCTGACCTTCCGATTGTCAAACAACCCGCTGCACCACCTGAGCCACAGCTGCCATGAATATGGAAGTTAATATTGTTCAGTACATCAGGCACAAGTCTTAATAAAGGTTACACCGTGAAAACATGCTTTTAGTACTGATGGTTTAAGTTTTAAGTTGACTTTGTGCTAAGCTAGCCGTTATGCTAGTTGTTTGAGACAACTATGAAAAGTATTTTTTCCCTTTTTGGCTCCGTATAAATGTCAGTGATTGCAGATGTCCTGGACATGTGCTGTGGTTGTGAGCAGAGCAGCCCCACCAACCGTTCTGTTTGCAAGCGGCATACAATGAGAAGAAAGTTTAAAGGAAGGGACAGTAGCAGGGTATGCAGCTGAGGGTATTTTAATGAGGAGAAAAGCGGTCACTTCATGGAGCTGCTTTGAAATGCAACTCTGGAAAGAGAATTAATGAACTTGTCATTTTAAATCATGTGAATACATTTTTTTCTGCTAAAAATAATTATAAAAAAGCTATTTTGAATTGACCCTAAAAATCACAAGAACCTTTTTACCCCATTGTAAAGAATGCAATGATTTAATAAACTGAAGTTATAAATTTCTCTAATTTCTTAATGCATGTTCATAAAATTAGAGACTTCAAATTTGGAGCTTGCAAGAGAGATGGAAAAAAAAAGGTTATATTAACACAACAGAAGCAGAGATATCTGACTTTCAGTCACTGGATCCTACATATTCAAACATGCAACTTTAAAGTGTTTCTCCAGACAGTCTGCCTGCTAGACCTATACATTACACACCATCTATCAGTCAGCTGACACCACTTAATTTTGTTGATTCATCTGGAAAAATCCCCCCCCAAAACTACAGACAGAATCTACAAGAGCTACAAAATAAAAAAGGTTTAAAGGCTGATGAACTGCTTGTATGCCCCTCTAATAAAGGATAAAATTAGCTCTGATAATGAGTGACTGTCTCAATCCATAGCCAAGTTGGCAGAACCACTGGAAGGAGCAACCTGTACACCTCACTGCCAGGTAACTCCACCTGATTATTCATAATCGCCTAAAAGGATCCAACTGAACGATCATGTTTTGGACGTAGTGTTTGTAATCTGCGTCTCGCAGTACAGGAACGATCAGATTACGACAATCTAAGAGGAGACTGGCTACTGTCAGTCAAGTGACACGAGCATGGTTTTAAATGTGCGAGCTCAAAAAAGTTGAAGGAACAAAGAATTTCACAAATAATAATCATGCATGCTTTAACAGAGACAATGGAAATTAAAGTTAGTTGTTTTGCTTGCAAATACCTGGAACTCAGGTGTGCGGGTGTGCGTGTGTGCGCGCGTATGCATGCATGTGACTGCGAGAGAGTCAGTTTCAGGTGTTTGTAATGAACCCCAATAAGTCATGTCTGCTACCCGATCCTGTTGTCATCCAGCACGGCCGACAGATCAAAAAGAAAAAGGGGCAACTTGGAGCTGCTGTTCTTCATGCTTGGCCGACCTTTATTCTGAGCTCCAGCTCAAAGCTGAAAGCTCACAGAGAGATCCTGTCATGTCAAAGTTAGCTCTCAGACACATGACATCCTTGTTACTTTTCAAAGACAAAGGGCATGTGCAATGTATTTTAACTGACACCGAGTATTACTTTCACTGCAAGGTCATTTCAACTGATCTTCTCGAAGGTGGATTAAATCTTCACAGGTACATCTGCACACACAGTCGGGCTACTGTTGATGACAAATTAATGATCAGTCTGGTTGTCTGTCAGCTACAAAATCATCATTCAGTCCAAAGTCAGTCACACGTGTCTTTTATCCCTCGCCACACATGAGCTTTATATGAGGCTCGCTCTCTTGGAGCAGAATGCTGTCTGGCATTTTATTCTGATTCAATTAAACCAAAGAAGGAATGGAAACTGCTAACTCTTAAAGGCCAACAGTTACGTGTGATTAAACTAAGATGAGGTCTCCATGTAAAAAGTTGTAATCTCATAGTGTTCTGACCCGATTTATTCAAGGCTTCAGAAAAGACATTAATTAGCTTAGAAAAGTTCTGCATCAACGTAACTAAACTATCTCGGTGTTGTCTTCACGAAACCATAGAAACACTATATATAAATAAAATTTAAAGGAAAGAGCATGTCTAGGGTGGGTCCACAAGGTTAGCCATTTTATTATACTGCATGAAATGTTCCTCCCACAGTCCAAATACATGCATTTAATAGGGTATGGTCAGCTGGTGATTCTACATTGCTGGGACTCTTATTCAGATTGAGTTCAGGTTATTGATGCAGCCCTCCACAACAGTCAGTTTCTCATGCAGATCACTACAACCGCCCCATGAAAGACTGGAACTGCACCAATAAGCTTAAAAAGGGCAAATAATTAATTTTAATATTGAGCGAAAGTGAATCCAGGTTATTAGAGAGGGATTTCACAACAGCCACAGTTTCTCATGTGGCCTGCTGGGAAAAATTACGGCCTAACTCCTCCCCTATTTACAACACCATAAAAATCAGTCAGTCAATCATTTTCATTCGACAGCCAACAGCACGAAGAGGCCAAATAATGCTGTAGCATGGGCATGTACTAAGCGCAACTTGGGCGTTTCACTCACATGTAAACATCATGGTAGTGCTAAAAGGAAACATGAGAAATGCCGACTTCACTGGCAATAATAAGCTAATAAGGAACAGCAGCTTGCTATATAGATTTATATCCAAAATTAAGGCTGTGAAAATCAACATTAAACTTTTAGACTGATATATAATTTCAGAGATGAGTTCAAAGCTAACAACAATAAATTAAACAGTGCTTCCTTCCAGACATTAGAGTAAGTCCCAGTATTTTTATGAAGCTTATTTACATGCGGCATCAGTTCTAGTCTGTCGAGGACTAAAAGAACATTCATCATTCATACCGAATAGTGAAGCAACTCACAGCACTTAGCAAGTTAATAAATAAATAAAAGGTAGGATTACGAGACTAAATGGAGGAAATCAAATTGCCTGACACAGCAGGCACACACTGACTGTCAGGGACTGAGGATGCTTTTCAGAGTTGCACTTCACGTGATGTCCACTCACTCTTCCATTTAAACCACACTGGAATTTTATTAGTGCTGGAAGGACAGCGACAAGTGAACTATGACATTAAAACCGAGAAATTGTATGAATGAAAAAGGAAAAGAAAAAAAAAAAAACTGCTTGCACTCACAAATTGAGACAGTCATGTCCTGCAGAAACAACCGTACTGAACTTGACATAATCAGCTGTAACAGAATTAGAAAAGCTGGAGTGCTTGATGTCTGGACTCAGCATTGTTCAGAGTCTGAGAGCAGTGGGTGGGTGGCGGGGTATGAAATAATAGGTACTAATGTAAAGTGAAAAAGAGGACTGGAAAGAACAAAAGCATTACGTTTTAGAGTATTTAAAATCATGAGGAAAAACTATTTCCTCCAGATACGTTAAGCATCTGGTGCTGGCAAGAAGAGACAATTTTACAGTATTAGGAGAAACATTAACCGACTTAAGAAGAAGGAATGCAAATCAATCTAAAAGACTCCCCATTTCTCCCTGTGTTTCAGAGAAGCTAATTCATCAGTCTTCAGGGTTCATTTCACATGCAGTGTTGCTAGCTGATAGTCTGTCGTAGCCCGTTGTGCATTAATCAGTCTGGCAATTATATCACCATTTTATTACGACAATTAGAGTGAAACAGCACATATCAGAGTGAAGTTAAATGAAATTTCCCATTGACAACCCATTTGTTTTCAGGTGAACACACTAACCCAGCACAAGGAAAAAAAACCTTTAGTAATGGTTGATAATAAGTTTTATTTAAAAAAAAAAAAAAAAAATCTGCTGGCAATGTTAGAACTCAAAAACGCAGCTCATGTCAATTCCAACCATCGTTATTCATAATTTAATTTCTCTGTTAGCTGTGTGTCACTGAGATTACATCTGAATGAGACAGTCACCAGCTCAGCAGAATAACCAGGATCCACAGGGGCCAATGACAAAAAGGTGACACACAAAGACAGGCAATTTACTGGCTTCCCTGTAAAACTAAATAAATCAGTATAGAGCAGATGGAAAGGGGAGGGGCCTGCATGAACGTTCTTAGTGCTGCTTGGAGGCAAAAAAATGAAGCAGTTAAGACAGAAATCTAGTGACTAAATTAATCTGACAAAAGTACTAATTAAATTAACATTTTAGATGTTTTTTTTAACATTTCATAACATTTATTGACTACAGACCAGACGACTACTACTACTAATAATAATAATCCCGCCTTATGTATTATAATTTATAAAGGGTACCAAAAAAAATGGTGGAGCCGCTGGACAAAATAAGAAAAAAACAAAACAAAAAACGTATACATTTTTTTACCATATTCATAACTCTTTTATGGGCTTTTCAATAACAATAAATGGCATTAAACCTGTTTTTAATTTAAGTGTATTTCTAGATTAAATTCTAATGTGATTATTTTACGGTGTTCCCCAGGGATCTATTACCGGGCCACTATTAATCAAATTAGTGCAGTAATTATTCAACTCCATTTCTCTCATTCCGTGCTCAAATTGGATTATTATTATAATTATTATAAGAATTGTAATTTTAACATAGTTGGTAGGAAAAAAAAAAAAGTGTAAACATGTAGGGTCTGTCAGACTTTGTATCTTTGGGGTCAGCAACATTATCAAAACTCAATTATTAATATTATTATTTTTAATAAAGTCAAAATCAAAATTATAAATTGAATCTTTAAAAAAAAAAAACACTTAGAGTATGACATAAATTTATTTATGGAATACTGAGTCATTTAAAAAGTGATAAATGACATCAAACTAAGAGACATTGGTCTGGCTGTGTGGTTAATTTAATGATCTTACTTCATTTTGATTAGTGAATAGTGTTTCATATTGAGACCATTGATAAATCTTTATGCCTCCTTCCTGCACTATTTAATTATTTGGCCTTTTTATTTCTTTGATTTTAACCCGTTGAAATAATCTTCAAATGTAATGTCTGTGCCCGGATTATCCAAAGGTCAGGGCAGAAGGTGGCTGTAAAATCTGATTTAATCCTTTCTGGAAATGCACATGATTTGAATTCCCCTCATGACACAAAGTAGGCCCACACTGGTACTGCTGCTGTCTGCTGGTTTCCATGGCAACCGTCTACCAATTGGTCAGGTGGTTCTTTGGCAGAGAGGATACAGACAGAGAGACACCGTCTCGCAGAGGCTGTCGAGAGTCAAGCTGTCTGCCCGTCTTGGATTTATTAAAGGCCATTTTGCTCAAATTTATAATTCATGACAGAGAGGGCCATGTCAACAATCTAACCATCAGGGCTCATGCAGCTGTAGCCAGAAAGGTGTTTTTGGACACCTTTCCACAGGTCCAGGATAATGTGTGGACCTGATAAGCTGAAGAGTTGTTATGGAACAACACATCTGGGCTAGCACATATTTTGCAGTCATTTACACTTATTTCTAGACGTTCAAACACATGCTTTTTAGGCATTTCTGGACTGGACAAAAAAATAACGTTGTGTCACTCAATTACTGATTCTGCTTGGTTTAATTCAGGTGGAATACTCAAAACTGGGATGGAGAACCATAATGTTTCTGCAAACAGCCACAAAAATCATTTTCAGCCTCAATTGTTTGATGTGAGAGCGTTTACTGTCAAAGCCATTGTCAGCAGGATGTTAGTTTGCTAGGTTGCAGGAGGTTGAAGTCAATCCCAGCTGACACTGGGCAGTCAGTCACATGGCCGACACAAAGACAGAAAAGAGTCATGCTCACATTCACACCTAGTACCAATTTGGAGCCATCAAAAAACCCAACCTCCAACTCCTTGGACTGTTTTTTTTTTTTTTTAAATTTCAGGGCAGGTGTAACTACGATTATTATTAATTATGAACACATTTGCCACGGTGTTAAAACTGTTTCTGTAAACCTACCATATTCTGTGACAGCTGGCCGTCTTCCTCAAAGTGACGCTCGACATAGTCTGTAGACAGCAGATTGCTGGAGTGTACAGATTGAGAAATATTAGGAGCAAAAACAACAAAAAGTGCTTAGAAATGCTTTAAAAAAAAGGACCTAGTACTGAAGTAATTCTTTTACAAGGGTTTCAATTTTTGCTTACTAATCCTTTCATAGAAATAAATAAAATCAGTGTCACAATAAGTATTAATAAGTATTAAAAGAGGTGTGATGTGACTTGTTGTGACTTAAACCTCACTGCAATATTAGGACACTTTACTTCAGTGTATTGCTTGACTAGGTCTGAATATGGCTACACCATCTGTTATTTATCAATGTTTAGCCAGCACCCACTTCGTGTAATATGATGTGTGAGTCTGAGCATAGTTATGTCAGTAATTGCAGTGAACCACTTAAAGTGATGTTTAATGGACCTGAGGTAAGCTTTGCAGGTGTGCGGTGACTTACTGGTTGAGCTCCAGGTCGAGTATGAAGGCTGTACCAAAGGCTTTTACCAAGAAGCTGCTCTGGGCCAAATGGATGGGCTAAAAGAGAGTGAGGGAAGGGGAAGGAGGAAGGAGTGAACACCAAAGAAGACATAAATACTGTAAAGAAAATGACAGCTGCAGTTAATAACTGAATTTAAAATCATTTCTCATTTATGGTGTCTTAAAGAGAAACAGTCTGGAACGCTGCAAACATTTGATCTTAATTTCATCACTCTCAACATACATACATAATACTCTGTACACAATTTGTGCTGCCCTGTAACAAACAGACAAATCAGACAAACAGAACAGATTACATGCTCCCTTCCTTTGGGCAAATCCAGCTTTTATGAAGCCCACAGCAAAACACTTGTCTCTGTAGTCATTAAGTCATTACTCTGACTTTTAAGAGTCGACTGAAAATGAGGCCAACCACGCAGGGCACTCTATTGTATAATTACATCAGGTATTCTTCAAGTCACCATGTGAAGTCATAACCATCATTACTGTTGTAGAGTTGTTTTTTTATTTAATGAGAACCCAAATCAGTTTAAATGCTGGCATTTTCAACTCCTCACTGCAGGCATGTCATGTGCCTGCCTGCTTCAAGTCCTCTACCATAATCCCTGTCCCCAAGAAACCTAGGATCACTGGACTAAATGACTACAGACCCGTGGCTCTGACATCTGTGGTCATGAAGTCATTTGAGCGCCTGGTTCTCTCCCATCTCAAGACCCTCACGGCCCCCCTCCTGGACCCCCTGCAGTTTGCATACAGAGCCAACAGGTCTGTAGACGACGCCATCAACATGGCCCTACACTTCATCCTGCAGCATCTGGACTCCCCAGGAACCTACGCCAGGATCCTGTTTGTGGACTTCAGCTCTGCCTTCAACACCATCCTTCCAGACCATCTCCGAGGCAAGCTTTCCCAGATGAATGTGCCTGATCCCATCTGCCGGTGGATCACTGACTTCCTGACGGACAGGAAGCAGCATGTGAGGCTGGGAAAGAATGTCTCGGACTCCCGGACCATCAGCACCGGCTCCCCTCAGGGCTGTGTTCTTTCTCCTCTGCTCTTCTCCCTGTATACCAACTGCTGCACCTCCACCCACCAGTCTGTCAAGCTAATCAAGTTTGCAGATGACACCACCGTTATTGGACTCATCTCGGACGGGGATGAGTCTGCCTACAGGAGGGAGGTTGAACGTCTGGTGTCCTGGTGCAGCCACAACAACCTGGTGCTGAATGCCCAGAAGACAGTGGAGATTATTGTGGACTTCAGGAAGCACACAGCCCCACTCCCCCCCATCATCCTGACTGACACCCCCATCACCTCTGTGGACTCATTCCGCTTCCTGGGTACCACCATCACCCAGGACCTGAAGTGGGAGCCCACCATCACCTCCGTCATTAAGAAAGCCCAGCAGAGGATGTACTTCCTGAGGCAGCTGAAGAAATTCAACCTGCCAACACGGACGATGATGCAATTCTACACTGCAATCATCGAGTCCATCCTCACCTCCTCCATCACCGTGTGGTACGCTGGAGCCACTATCAGGGACAAACAGAGACTGCAGCGTGTTGTGCGCTCTGCTGAGAAGGTGATTGGCTGCAGACTCCCATCTCTGCAGGACCTGTACACCTCCAGGACACTGCGGCGTGCAGCTCGGATCTCAGCTGACCCTTCTCACCCTGGACACAGTCTGTTTGACCTGCTCCCCTCAGGCAGGAGGCTCCGGTCCATTCGCACCAGAACCTCTCGCCATAAGAACAGTTTCTTCCCCTCTGCTGTTGAACACATGAACAATAACCGTATGACTGTTCCCACCACTAACACATGACCCTACGCTGTGTTCACTGCATCATTCCATGTTTGGCACTGATCACCACCTGCACTCATGTATATATCATGTATATATCTATCTATCTACTTAGCACTTTTAATTCTTATTCTCATTTTTATTTTCATGTCTATTTAAGCTTAATTTATAACAGTATGTTTGCACTGAAGCACCGCAGCAATTTCCTAATGTTGTAAACCCGCTCAACATTTGGCAATAAAACCCTTTCTGATTCTGATTCTCAGCTGATTAGCAGTGTGTCAGTGAAAACAGAAGCTGCCATACTGCGCTGATCATGATGGGTTTAAAAAAACAACAACAACAAAAACCCAAATGCAATGTTGCTAAGATCTTAAAGATCTAATTGCTCTCATAAACATAATTCTGCTCGTTCAGGAGAGCCTCTCGAGTCACAAATGTACTCCTTTGGATGAGGGAACGTTCTCAACACCGCAGAGCGGTGGCAGCATCTGAGCCAGTGTAGCACATGTGCACATTATTCAACCCAATTAGGAGAATTGGATGAATATTGGATCTGATCCGACCAACTAATTAGCTGACCTCTACATTTGCTGATCTTTTAGTAACGTGTGCTGATGTCAAATTTAGTGTGCAGTATAGGCATTTTTCTTCTTTTTAACTTTAAAAATATGGTCAAAAATCTAACGCAGACACTTTTTGCTGTTTCACAAATTCACCTCAGAGGGTTTTACATTTCAAACAAAAGATGATACCTTATAGACCCTGGATAGAGACTAAAACTTGCTTACAATAAAAGGATTATCCTTATAAGTAGAGCGGATATGCAGCAGAAGCTATAGGTGGCAGAGAAAATATAAGCAGCAAAATTACAATACAAATATCCTTTTTTACGAATGTTTTCCCAGAGGAGACATCTTATCCACCCAGCGGCGTTTGGATAAAATTCTGTGCTGAGGGCTCACTGTCTCCGTCTAACCTTGCTCCAAGGTGAGCCCAATCCATATTAAAAGAGAGTTCTGTAGTAGCTCCCGTCAGTGCTCACTGGCCAGCAGCAAGGCAGGTCTCATTAGTAATACCCTGCACTCTCAGCAAACCACTTAGTATCAATCTAAACCTCCACTGGGTCCATATACCATACAATAAAAGACCACAACGGGGCTTGTGAGCAGCAATACAAATGCTCCATTAGCACTCTCACTATTATATTTTTCTTATTTAAATTTTGATCATAATTCAGGCCACACTACAGTTTAGTTTCACACGTTACATTGTTGTCCACAGATACAAATGGAGCCACAGTTTTTTAAAACTCAGTACTTGCACCAGACTATACAGTCACGCTAAAAAGGTTTTACGTACAAGGGAATAACAAAAAAACAAAAATAACTTAGCAGGTCTAAAAATTCAGTAACTACAACCTCAGATGAACTGAAAAAACCCCCCAAAAACATAACATTAGACTAGAGTGGAGACGTTTGGCCATAATGCACAAAAACCAAACACAGCATATCAACACTAACACCACATACCACAGGCACAGTGGTGGAGGGGTGATGATTTGAGCTTGGACATGAGGCAATGAGTCGACCGTGAATTCCTCCGTATACCAAAATATTCTGGAGTCAAATATAAGGCCATCGGTCTGGCAGCTAAAACTTGACTGAAATTGCATCAAATGACAATGACCCTAAGCACAGCAACAAATCTACAATAGAATGGTGAAAGAGATCAACACTGAAGGTGTTACAGAGATCCAGACCTCAAGCATGAGCTTAGGAAAGCCGTGCATAAATGAATGCCTGAACTTCAATGGACTGACCTACCATTGTAAAGTTAGGTCAGTTAAGTGATTGCATCTAAAGGTGATTCTACAGCAACTGAATCCTGGGGTGCACCTGGTCTTTCCACACACTGCTTCTCCATTTTGGCTTAGTGTTTCTAAACTGGTTTTATTATGTCCTCATACGCAAAACCTTAGAACTGACAATGACTGTGTACTGTTACTTAAAGTGGAGCTTTACCCATTAAAAATATTCTCATACTTTCACTGGATATGAGCACTGGATTTCATAGCTATGACTCACAGATCAAATAAGAGTTTTTCATTAGGAAGGCCCACATTGTCCAAAGTCAAACTCAGAGCATCAGGTCACAAGTGTGATCAGCACTTTTAAGACTTATTTTTGGCTTTTATTGGCAGCACAATAGCAGACAGGGAAGCAGAGGAAATAACATACAGCAATTGTAGCTACATTTTGTACCCACAATTGAAAACCGCCCTATTGTAAGTTTTAAACCGGCCACTTGATCTGAACGCCAGCATTAACGTTTTTCTAAACTGAGAGAAATCCCAGACTAAAATCTTTTTTCCAGTCCGTAATTACAAATTTAAAGCTGGGGACAGTTTTACAGCAACATTAAGGGGAGTCTGCAAAGCTTTTCCTTGTTTTTGGTTTTTTTTTATGCTGTGTATATACTTCAAATACTCACGTCAATGTGTGTACAGGTAAGAGACTAAAGGTCAGACTTCACACGGGTCTAAACATAGCAGCCCCGTCCACCTGGTGTTCAAACCTTCTATTTGAGAAGGGCAACCAGCTCAAAGTGTGGAGCTACACCTGCACGATTCAGACAGTTGATGAACTAAAGGGATGCACAGCTGCCTGGTATAAGTTAAATAAAGATTATTTTGAACTGAGAATCATGCAAAGCTACTTTGGTAGAGCCCAAGACTGAAAATATGAAGCTGGAAACAGGAATAATAGGCCCACTTTAAATCCTTTCGATGCATAATCACAAAAAACAATCACTGTGCAGCGATCGGCAGCTAGCACAGTGTAAAGTAAGCCTGCTGATTGCATCTCATATCTAAATTCAAGTCTAAGGGCACCTCTGGTATCAGCAGAAAGAGATCACGAGACAACACGCTGACCACAGGGGGCACATCAAGGTCAAACCCATGTCATATCCACTGACCTGACAGCCGCTGACTGACAGCGTTTACAGCAAAGGCAACAAAAGAGGACAGGTAGAGGTGTGAAATATCATCTGATGAGGCCGAAAGGAGCAAAAGGCTGAAGTTGAGGGGGTGGGATGTGTTTTATCTGCCTTTTTAATACCCTGGTGTGTGTGGTGTGTGTGTGTGGGGTGGGGGTGTTAAAGAATGGTGTAAATGTGACAGACAGATGACTTCAGGAGAGAAGGCATAGAGGGAAAAACAAGCTTGACAGAGAGCAGATTTATTACACAGTTTCCATCTTTTCTCTGTAGCAAACAGCAAAGGTTGGTTTACACTGTCAGTGTCCAGCTTTATACACAGTAAACTAATCTGAAATTAATACAACCTGGTTACATATCATGAAGATGACCCACATCAGCAAAACTATAACTAAAAATATGAAAAATTAAATTTCAGTCTGCTAAGAGCAGTTAACAGACACACTTTCTACTCTATATCTTTAAGATTTTCTGCATCATTGATGAAACTGTTCCTGCTGGATGTTTGACTAAAGGCAGTGTTAGAAAACATCTTGGTTGGGGGGTCTACAAGGTCTACTCTTGATGTCTTTCTTGTCTTAATCTGATCTCAATGTGGGGGAAAATGTAGAAACTGATATTTATGGAAATCTAATGACGATAAATGATGTGTTCAGTTCTGATGGTTTGGACAACAGGTGTAAAAACAACAACAAAAAAGGCGGTAACAAAAGCAGGCAAAGCTCACCTGCTCACCGGCTGAGTGGTTCTTGACCCGCGTGTCCAGTCGGCTGTGCAGGAGCTCTTCCTCAGTGTGGATCTGCTGCAGGAGTCGCTTGGGCTGAACGACCTCCTCCGCGGGCGGCAGCCTTCCCTCCGGACTCCCCCATTCTCTCAGAGCTGCAGAGGACACGCACACAGGTGGGGCGAAAAGGTCATTTCTAAGTTTTACTTACCAGAATCAACAACTGGCCGTGAGCTTCTTGATGTCCCTACTTATTTATTACATCGCGAGTATTTGGCTCTGTGTTTGAAGCGTGGGAACCTCTTACCTGTCTCGGCGTACCGTGCGTACACTGTAGCGAACAGCAGGCATCTCACCGCGAGCATGATGCTCACATAGTCCCAGTGATTTCCTCCGTGCAGCGCCGTTAAATGAACCGACACCAGCCGTGAGCGGAGCTGTAGCAGGACTCTTGTTGTTGTTGTCGACAGTGAAAACAAACACAGCAGCTTGGTGCCTTCACGCTGTACGCCCGCATTTCTCACTCCCTGTCCGCCTGCGGCGCTTACAAACACCTTGAAGGGGCTCCTCCTCCTCTAGGCTGGGGTAACATGGTGTTTGTGTGTCCGTGTCGCCCTGAGCTGCTTGGCTTCACACACCTGTCTGCCGGCCTCGTTACTGAGTGAGGCTGCGCGAGGAAACAAGCGGCACGTGGGGCGTGACGGGACCACCCACACACTAATGGATCCAGCACTCGGGCCCGGGAGCCCGAAGGGAAACACCTGATATCACCGTCAAGATTCAGGCATTATTTTAAGGACTTCAAATGCATGCCATCCATCTAATGCACTTCAAACAGTGGTTTATTATTTATAATGCAGATGAGCTAAGTGTATTTTCTTTGCCCTGTCGATTAGAATAATAAATACATTTTCTTATAATTGTGTGGATGCTTTAAGCATCCACACTATAGAGTTCCTGTTTCTCTTTATTCTTTATTATT